TTACTATTATAATGCTCACTAGAGGTTAATGATAAGATACGTAAAAATTCCATTGGGATATAAGGCGTATTTTTACGGAAATCAAAGTGCTGATGTGTCTCGGGACTCGGTGTCGGTGTCACGTTGGGTTCGTGTAGCGTCAGTGTGTCGTCGTGGTGTGTGTGTGTGTGTGTGTGTGTGTGTGTGTGTGTGTGTGTGTGTGTGTACAGGCTTTATGTGTTGGCTTGCGGAGTAAACATACCTGAGGCGTCGCCCATTTTTATTGTCAAGTGAAATATTTATCGATGAAAGAAAATCTTATATTTTGGTATAGACAAAAATTGCACTGTTTGGAGGCCCACTTTGTATGTTTACTTTATAGCATCCAAACAAATCACTATTAGAGCTATTTAAAGCTCTCCGTGTACCAAGGGAAACCTCGGAGTAATCGTTTGCAATCAGATCAAATTGATTTTCATTTACACAGATACAAGTAATGTGGTTTAATAAATTAAGTAATATTCAGTACAAATACATAAACAAAATAAGTATATTGCTGACGGTTAGTTGAGCATCACCCAGCACTCGTGTATCATACAATGCTAGAGAGATCTTCACACTCTCATCATTACTTAATCTTTGTCTTTAACTTTTTCACTGTACTATGACCGACCTTCATTGTCTCACTGTTAATGTTTTCTTTTTATTTCTTTTCCTCTTGGTATGTTTGGTGATACATGAACACATTGTACAAGGTATCGTATATATATTTATGTCTTCAGTCTTTGTCTCTTGCTGATGTGTGCTTTTATTGTTGTTTACTTTCCGTACATAATTTACCGGGCTGAAGTGGAGGAATATAAATAATGATCTGAACTGACCCTGTATGTCTGCGGTCATCATAAAATAGTATTAGAATTTGGTTACGTTAAAAAGAAACCGTCCACACAGCTGACCCCCGCAAGGCTGTTGGTCGCTGAGGCCTTTACCACAGCTCTGCAGTACCCTCTCTTCTTATTTTTACAATAAATAAACAATATGAATATAATCTGTGTGTTATTTTTCCCTCACTACTTCACGAACTCATTACTGTGTGAGGAACATTTTGGCTCAGGAGGACAATTAGTAAGTAGGAGTAGTAACTAGGAGAAGGTCTTGTCTCGTTAAGCTTCGTGTTGAGTACCAAAAGCTTCTACACCTTCATCCCTTCATCTTAATGTATCACTATAAAACGCCATTAACCAACTTTACGCCTTTATTGTGGATTATAAGTATGTTAGAATAATTGAAGTACTTTATGAGAAGAATCAGCATCCAAAAAGTGGTGAGTTGCTGAGCTTGTTCCACTCGTACACAGTAGGGAGGATGGCCACACTCCTGATAAGTTACACAATAGGGAGGGTGGCCACACTCCTGATAAGTTACACAATAGGGAGGGTGGCCACACACCTGATAAGTTACACAGTAGGGAGGGTGGCCACACACCTGATAAGTTACAGAAGTAGGGAGGGTGGCCACACCAGATAAGTTAGACAGTAGGGAGGGTGGCCACACCTGATAAGTTAGACAGTAGGGAGGGTGGCCACACACCTGATAAGTTACAGAAGTAGGGAGGGTGGCCACACCAGATAAGTTAGACAGTAGGGAGGGTACACCTGATAAGTTAGGACAGAGAGGGTGGCCACACTCCTGATAAGTTACACAGTAGGGAGGGTGCCACACAGATAAGTTAGATGTAGGGAGGTGGCCACACACCTGGATAAGTTACACAGTAGGGAGGGAAATATACACTGATAAGTTAGAGGGGGAGGGTGGCTACACACCTGGATACAAGTTACACAGGGAGGGTGGCTACACTCCTGGGCGGTTACACAGTAGGGAGGGTGGCCACACCTGGAAAAGTTAGACAGTAGGGAGGGTGGCCACACCTGAAAGTTAGACAGCAGGGAGGGGTGGCCACACACCTGGATAAGTTACACAGCAGGGAGGGTGGCCAAGACTCTGATAAGTTACACACAGGGAGTGGTGGCCACACTCGATAAGTTAGGACAGTAGGGAGGGTGGCTACACACCTGATAAGTTACACAGAGAGGGTACACACCTGATAAGTTAGACAGTAGGGAGGGTGGCCACACCTGATAAAGTTAGACAGTAGGGAGGGGGTGGCCACACACCTGATAAGCCATATAGGAGGGTGGCTACACACCTGATAAGTTAGACAGTTGGGAGGGTGGCCACACATGATAAGTTAGACAGTAGGGAGTGATGTACACACCTGATAAGTTAGACAATAGGGAGGGTGGGCTGCACTCCTGATAAGTTACACAATAGGGAGGGTGGCCACACACCTGATAAGTTACACAGTAGGGAGGGTGGCCACACACCTGATAAGTTAGACAGTAGGGGGGTGGCCACACACCTGATAAGCTAGACAGTAGGGAGGGTGGCCACACACCTGATAAGTTAGACAGTAGGGGGGTGGCCACACACCTGATAAGCTAGACAGTAGGGAGGGTGGCCATACTCCTGAGTTACACAGCAGTAGAGGACATGCTGAGCAGCTAAGTACTCTCAGAGCTCTGTATTCGACCGTGACCTCAGAATATCTCCTAATATCAAGTGTTCATGGCTTCACAGTGCCCATGATATTGGTCAGATTTAAAAAGAATATGGGGGTCTTACAGCACTCCCCGACCCCCCAGCTACGATCTCTGGGTCTTACAGCCTCCCTGACCCCCCCCCAGCTACGATCTCTGGGTCTTACAGCGCCTCCCTGACCAGCTACGATCTCTGGGTCTTACAGCGCCTCCCGACCCCCAGCTACGATCTCTTGGGTCTACAGCGCCTCCCTGACCTCCCCAGCTACGATCTCGGGTCTTACAGGCGCCTCCCGACCCCCAGCTACGATCTTGGGTTCAGCGCCTCTCCCTGACCCCCCAGCTACGATCTCTGGGTCTACAGTGCCTCCCGACCCCCCTAGCTACGATCTCTGGGTCTTACAGCGCCTCCCGACCCCAGCTACGATCTCTGGGTCTTACAGCGCCTCCCCCGACCCCCCAGCTACGATCTTGGCTTCAGCGCCTCCCGACCCCCAGCTACGATCTCTGGTCTTACAGCGCCTCCCCGACCCCAGCTACGATCTCTGGGTCTTACAGCGCCTCCTGACCCCCAGCTACGATCTTGGGTCTTATAGCGCCTCCCCGATCCCCAGCTACGATCTCTGGGTCTTCAGCGCCTCCCCGACCCCCAGCTACGATCTCTGGGTCTGGCCTCCGATCCCCAGCTACGATCTGGCTCAAGCCTCCCCGATCCCCCAGCTACGATCTCTGGGTCTTCAGCCTCCCGATCCCCAGCTACGATCTCTGGCTCCAGCGCCTCCCCGACCCCAGCTACGATCTCTGTACAGCGCCTCCCGACCCCCAGCTACGATCTCGGTCTACGCCCTCCCCACCCCCAGCTACGATCTTGGTTCATAGCCTCCCTGACCCCCAGCTACGATCTCTGGGTCTTAGCGCCTCCCCGACCCCCAGCTACGATCTCGGGTCTTAGCGCCTCCCGACCCCAGCACGATCTCTGGGTCTTACAGCGCCTCCCGACCCCCAGCTACGATCTCTGGGCAAGCGCTCCCCGACCCCAGCTACGACCCTGGGCTCAGCGCCCCCCGACCCCCAGCTATCTCTGGGGCTTACAGCGCCTCCCCCGACCCCATAATAACGGAGAACCCGGAAAAAATCATTAGTTCACGAAGTTTAATTCCTAGATCTTTGATGATTGACCTTCACTTGAATATTTGAAATTGTGTCATTGTTGTTTGACAGTTTGGTTCATAAATGTCGCATTTCATTCGGTAGAACATAAAAACACGTTATTGTAGTGTCTTAAGCCTTCTAGCGTTTGCCCTTGATAGTAACAACAATTCTGTGCATTTTTTTTTATTTGTGCTGATTCTGATGAATTTGTTAATCACAATATTTCGCGTATTGACACTTAATAACATGTAAAACGTACCAACAGGTGAGTTTTATCACAACATATTCTTTGCTCTCTGAACTTAAATAAGAAGCAAATTATTATTTTGGTAGTCATTTGAAATCTCTCGATACAGAAATATCGTGTTCCTGCTGTGCATGCAGAGGGTTTATACAAGTCCGTGTACTGTACCGTGTACTGTGCCGTGTACTGTACCGTGTACTGTACCGTGTACTGTGCCGTGTACTGTACCGTGTACTGTGCCGTGTACTGTACCGTGTACTGTGCCGTGTACTGTACCGTGTACTGTGCTAATTAAACAAAAACAACAAACGATGTCACTATTAAAATGGTAAAGTACATCAAGATGACACACCTACATGTACTGTACACAGGTGATGCACATTATAGATACTGTACATTATGCTCTTGTTCAGTGATTATAACATTAATGTTCTGTTACTCCTGTAAGCCATGAGAGGTGCAAAACGCCTTTCTACACATCTATTTTTTTTCAAATATAAAGGCAAGTAAACAATGGTATACATTAATGATAATTATTACAGCTCTCGAATAATGCCACGGCTAGCATCAAAGCCCCCGTACACTTCTCATTCAACATGAAATCAGAAATCATACCAGCATATATATACAGTATATAGTGTAAGTTATTAAACTGTATGTAGTCTTTTTCACCTATTTAACAGCTTCCTTTTTCATCAGTATACTGTATTTCAATATGAGATACACAATAACCAACACCCAATACCTGGTTATAACACGTGAAGATGGTACTGTATTGACACCTGTAATAATAATGAATGACAAGATGTGAGTTTAATTATTACATACATGGTCTGGAGTTTTACTGAATTTAAATACAAGGAAAAGTTCAGATAGACTTATTGCACTAAAATAGTGTATGGTTAATACTGTTGTATATATAAAGGGACCGGGATGTATGTATTAATAACTATCATTATGACATGCTTTAGTTAGATATTAGCCAAAATAGTTAACTGAAGTTTAGTGAGTAATCTCAAAATACTTACCTCCTCCATCAGCTTATTTTCGTACCAGTTTCCAACACGAACACACGAGTGATAAACATTTCTAGCCATTTTTCTAGTGTTAGATTGCACTGTATTAAGCACTGCTCCAGGTGATCCCGGTTACACTGCTCCAGGTGATCCCGGTTACACTGCTCCAGGTGATCCCGGTTACACTTCTCTCATAATGGAACACTTGTTATTGAGTTACCATGGCAACCAGTCATATGAAAAGCTATACAAGCAAAGTCTTTTCTCCAGTCACTCATTTCTATTGTAAATACAGAAGTTTAGGGTCAATTGATTATTTTGATAAAGACAGTAGCATGGAAGAAATATATTTGCTATTTTGGAGTTAAATTGCATTAAATGATGGTAGTCCACAATCACAGCAATTGATACAGTACTCATTTTTTTTCTGTAAGATTTTAGAACCACTTAACTTACTATAATTATCTAACAATCCAAACATTGCTTAAAGTCAAACAATTCCCAAGTTAATATAAAATCACGACCTTATGAATTGATTAACACTTAGTGGGAACTGTTGTCTTGTCTTGGGTGTTCAGCTTCACCCCCCAGAGGTAGACATGGCAGCCTGTGGTCCTGGGGGCTCACTCTTACAAGGCTTGTGTATAAGTTTACCGTCTTCATATCGACAATTATTCCTTCCAACATGTACGAAGATTCAACAAATGAATTATGCCAAAGCTCTAGGTAAGGATAATAATTATACTTTTTAGTGTATAGGGCAGTACAGGTAGGCCGGTAGGTGTAGTATCATTAGGCAGTTCAGAGTCACTAATCTCACTTAACTCCCTAACCTGTGTGTTGTTATTTAGGTTTTCTTACAATCATCCAAACAAAATCTCGTGGAAAAAATGAATAAATTTAATACAATATAAATCTGGTAATGTCTGAGAACATCACTACCACCAGAAGGAGTTGTTCAGTTTCATTAATTTTTTTCCCACACAATCTTTGGGTGATTGTAATAAAATGATACTACAATGTGCAGACACTAATAGATCCTGACCTAACCAACTCCTGACCTAACCAACTCAAGAAAGCTACCTAACCTTACATAACCTTCTAGCTGGGTGCTCTGCTCCCCGGGGCCCCCATCAAATTAAACAGAAGTACTCATTTGGATATCTGGTACCAATGAAAGCAACTTTATTGAAGCATCACGGTGTATTTTTACGATTTTTGTGGACATGAGAGTACGGTCTGACTGATCAGGTCGGTTGTAAACATATCAACGACGACTCGGCAGATTTTGGGGAGGAGTAATACTTTAAATAACTGATCTCTTCACACGGAGACATCATTTTAGTGTCATATGATCAGTTCACTGTGTTTTACCCTGCAATTTCCATCATCCTTCACGGGGAAATATTTCTCATTATAAAATGTTTCACTATACTGTAAGTCACTTTTCTATGGATCATCCCCAATGAAGACCTGCTGTATTAGTTTAGGTATTTTGTCCTGGCCGAGTTACACCACAACAGCATTTCACCATAACCCCTGAACGGTTGCCAGAGACCAGTGACCAATGATTTGTCATAAATAAGATGAACCAACTAACCTAATCTAACCTAACCAAACAGATACCTCTCCTAAGATGGAATTGTACTATTATTGGTTAGGTAGTTTGATTAGCGTGTTATTTTATCACTAGTTCATTTGGAAAGTTTGTTGAGAAGCATTTGGTTGCTTGGCATTAGGATTGCTTGCTGGCAAGTATGTCAACAATATAACTGTAAACAAAAGTAGGAAACTTAAAATTCCTCTAATTTTTTTGGGACAGTTAAGAGTTAAAAACAAGTTTCCTCCTATACATTTTTTTTTCCTAAAGCGGCTCCTTCTAACGGGGCGCTGTTGTAAATTATTACATGTACAGTTACAGAGAGCCCTTTATTGGGGTAACACTGGAAGACAGTAGCATGAAATATTGTAATATTTATGAAGGTTATGTGCCGGAAACATCAACTTGACATTTCTCTGTAGAATAATGTACACGGGACTTCCTGCTCCCTTCATATATAATTTTTCTCTTTATATTCTTGAGCCTGGTGTAATAAATATTTTAATCCTCGATTTTATGGCAAGAATTGTTAATTGACAAGTGTTTCTTTCAAAAGGTGCTGGTAGGAAGGGAAAAGGTAAACTTGGACCAACTGTAGAAAAGGTGGTAAGTGTGACTGTTCTTCTGTATCTATGATATGTTACTTTAGCTTTTAGAATTGTAAGTAAAATAGTTCTTAGAAAAGTGTTTTTGAGGGTAAATATAGTCAGACCTCTCCCAATATGAGGGTTATGCCCGAGAAGAATGACACCCTCTCTGACTTCATGTTGGGTGAGTTTCAGGGAGAAGTGTAGGGAGTGTGACATTTGTTCTTCAGATGATCATCAGCGTGTTGCGGCCATCTTCCATGCTTGCGTGGGTTAGCTCTTATTACCTGATGGCAAATGTTTGGTGAAACCAGAATGGGATGTTCCCCAAAACACCACTGTAGACGACTCCAGAGAGAAAAGCATTAATAAAAACCTACCAGTAGTTTTTAAGACAATATCTTTAGATTAATATAGAGACCATCGTAAACTTGCACATAGTACTGTGTTAGGCATTTTAAAGGGGGGAATTAGAACTCTAGACTCAACATTTAATCTTATTTCTGATGATTTCATATTTTTTGTTTGTTATTTCTTGTTTTATTAGAAAAATTTATCATAAAGCTGTATGAATATTTGTTTATACTGTACGAATATTGTATTCTTATGCTTCCTTCTTAATACACAAAGGCTATTACGCCCTTATATACGATACTGTTGTTTTGCTTGGACGAAGGTGCTGTATTAAGACCACCCCCTTATTATGATACAAAGAATTCACCTGAATCATCATTGTCTGGCCATATAACTGACGCACCCAAGGCACCCAGGCTTACCGTGTCTCTGGAGGTGAAGCTTGACTCCCCATAAACTGTGTGGGAGTCAGAGTGACGTGATCACTCCACCTTCAAGAGTCCCCCTTAGCCTTGTTTTTTGTGGATAAAGTGCATGTCTTGTGCAGACTACAGTATAGCGGACAGAAGAAAATCATTTCTCTCTTTCTAGCGTCTGCCAGTGGAGACCGACCCTGAGAAGCTGGTAAACAATGTGTGCGGGTCCCATCCAGTGAAGGAAAATCGTGAAGATATTATACTCAAGGATGACTCGGAGTATCCAGAATGGCTATGGACACTTAGAACTGGTGAGTCCTTGTGTTCTTTTTTTGTAGATTTTTAGCCGAGATGATTATATTTTTGTGGAATATCAAACAGAAGTTGATCTCTTGGCACTTAATGAGCCATGAGATTATTATTTGGATCCTCTTTCCAATAAGGTTTATATCTCTTACTAATAAGTCTCATCAGTTAAGATGTATAAATTTACATTAATTATTCATATAAAAATTATTGTTTTTTATCTTCTACTTCCTTCAGGTCATAATCATAATTTCTCCTAGAGTTTTCTACAGTTCCTGAATTAATAACAGTCGATGGGAGATTTTTTTCCAGGATTTCTTCCTTTCTTGATTTTGTCTGAAGAATGGACTGTGGCTGTCTCCAAATTTTAGTCAGGCACCAATGTTTATAGTGATCTACTGAGGTTCTTGCTCTTTCATGTCCATGTTCAACCATTTAATAATGTAGGTTTGTTAACACTGTTTTTGGTTCTTGGCTCTGACTTGCACAGTGCTGGCACACATGATTGGATGACTTCTGTCTACAGTACTTATTATCTTAATGGCTTCTCTCAGGTCATTAACAACTGATTCTTTCCTGAGGGTTCTATGATAATTATGAAAAACTGAATGGTTAGGGGGAGATCGAGAGCCTACAATACCCTAACTACCAATACAGTATACTAAAGACAGTAAAAAGGTCAACACTCCCAGGAGGTGCCTGTTTGTTCAATCCCTGTAGCTCTTTCTTGCACAACTTCACTCTTTTCTAGCAGGTTTGGCATAACAAGAGCCACTTGGCTAACTGGCTATAACAATAAATGGCATTGATCCTGAAATCACTTTTTTTGGTGGAGCTGGAGAAGAAGGTAGCTTGTATACCCTCCTCCTCCTCCTCCTCCTCTAGTTTCATAGCATAGTCACTGGCAACTGATATACCAAATTCCCTTCAATGAGGCTGATGGTGTGATTGATTATGAGTTAAAAATCAACCCTGACTCCCATTATGGGAGATGATACAGAGATCCCAATCCCCCAGTGAGCAGCTTTCATTATAAAACCTCCCTGACTCTGTGTAATGCCAGAAAAAAATGAATCTCATGATCAGTCCACCTTTTTTGTAAGTTGTTCTCCTTCATTGTATTTCATCTGTTTTCTTGTAATTTCTTGTCCTGTTGTCCCTATAAAGTATTTTTCTTGACTCTTGCATACCCATCAGATTTCTAAAGTAGAGTATATCTATGAGTCTGACTTTATCTCTCACCATCATAGTATTTCTTTCCTTATCCAAAACAACACTTATCCTGGCTACTCCTTTTGTGCATATTTATATCTTCTTCCCAAATAGTTTACCAGTTTGTCAACATCCTCATCCACTGCTTGTTTATGCACTTTGACTTGTTTCTCTAGCTTCATATTCAAAATTTCAAACTTCTTTCTCTTTTATTTTTAAGTTTCTGGAGGCATTACTAATGTTACCCTCCATGTTTTTTTATCTGCATATGCTGTAACCTTTTCAGTTCTATGGATGTACAGCTGCGGACAAAAGTTCGCTCCCCGTGATGAAACCAAGTCACGGGAATGATTCTCCGAAGTGACTTAAACTGTTGGGTGATATCTCCGTTAGCCGGAACAATTGGTACAGAGCACTTCCGGGAATGACAGATTTCCGGGTAACGAGACAACTCTCTCGAACCCGGAAAATATCCCTCATCCCCGGAATTTCCGGAAAATGCACCTGATTTTCATCTCTCAAGCCCAGAAAAAATTTCCCCTTCCCCGGAATTTTTCGGGTATCGGGAAAATTTTATCTGAATTTTCCGGAAAATGTGCTCCTCAGAATATCGTTCCCAAAGCCGGAATTTTCCGGAAAATTCCGGCTTTGGGAATGATTTTCCGAGAAAATTTCAATTCTGGCTATCAGAGAGTTCCGGGTTTGAGGGATTCCGGTTAACGAAGATATAACTATCTTGTTTAAGGTCGATGCTGTTTCATTTTGGGAGGGTGCGAACTTTTGGCCCCAACTGTACTTTGCACATTTAGAACTAGAGTCCTATGGTTGTATGAGGTATGGTTTGATATTTCCGTGTTCCATTTCATTTATCCTGGGGCAGTCATGAGCAATACTATACAATGGTGCCATGTGTTACCAGCAGTAATAATTCACCCCCATAAATATCACAGCTACCTTCAAACGCCATGGTGGAAGGACGTGTGTCAGGTTACACTTCTGACGGCCTTGAGAGTGATACCCGAGTGTCTGGTAGATGTAAACCTGAATTCAGTATACAGTTATATGGGAAGAATTAGATGCATTTGTTAATAGAAAGTAGTTATATAGAGGTACAGTATATGATGAAGTTTAGCTTGAGTATAGTATATAAATAACTTGTCAGCATAGGGAGATGTTAGGAAGCTGCAGTTGCCCAAATTAATTGTTGTGCTCAAGAAGGAACTGCAGCTGCTAACCAAGATTCATATTTTCTTTTTTGGTGTTTTAATGGCTTAAAACATTGTTCAATTAGTTTCTAAGGCTAATTTATATTATTTATTATTATTAATATTATTATTATTATTATTATTATTATTATTATTATTATTATTTTTATTATTATTATTATTTTAAATCATAGGCTGGGACCAAAGAGCTAATATATTCATTCCTCCCTGAAATTACCGTCATTCTGCATCCTATTTTTACATTTTCACACATTTCTTTAGGCATCCTTCAGTATGGCAGTTTTCATTTGACCTCACAACACATCTGCATCACTTAGTTCATTCTGTTCAGTATCTCGGCCAGCTTGTTTTGGGAGTCAAGGTTTAAATTCTTCCTGTATCAACCTCTTTTGATGAGAAGTTTATACATACTACTAATAATCCATCCAGAATTAAAGTGTCTTGACTTTTTCAGGTAAGCCCCCACCGATGAATGAATTGGACCCTAATTCTAAAGAGTATTGGAAGCGTATAAGAACTATGGCCATGAAAGAGAAGAATCTGCATAAGAAAATAAAGAAATTCTGATGGTCTTATGTCCAAATAAAAACAATTGTATATTAGCAATTAAAATGTTAAATATTAGTAGAATGTGGGATGCTGTATGTACAGTACTTGTGTATTTTATGAAAGTTATGATTGAAAGTTAAAATTATAAAAGATAATGTTGAAAGTAAACTTATATATGTTTGCTGTTTTATATGAAAATAAAAACGTCTTTAAAGTTATGTTTTCTTTCATAATCTCTGTTATACTGTATTGGTAATTTAATTTTTCTCAGGTGTGGGTCTGTGAACTTAGGAAGACCATCCTAGCACAGACCATTGTATTACAGGTTGACCACCAATTTTCCTGCAGTCACTTTTCCTGACAGTTGTAAGGTGGTCGCATTTTTCCGCACCCCTTCAAAATAGTTAACTGAACCGCTGCTGATGTTTTGGTGAGGCTCCTTCTCTACCGCCTTCCCTCAAAGTTTGTTTACATACGGCAACTTTCTACCTTCACTGTTTTATGGTACTGCGACCCCAAATATGGCTTTAAAAAAAACAGCAATGTCAGTGGTGGTATGAAACGTAAACACCATTCACTATTAATACAAGAGAAGGTAGAACTTCTGAAGAAAGTTGAAAGTGGTGTGTCGGTGCGAACCTTGTGTGATATTTATTGGTGTTGGTTCATCAACCATATATAACTTAAAGAAGCAGAAGGATAAGCTTTTAAGGTTCTTTGCTGACAGTGATTCAAAGAAGCTGATGTACATTAGAAAAAGTCGTTGTGAAGGTGTTGAACTTCCAAGTGATATGGTGAAGGCCCAGGCTAAGTTATTTCATGATGAACTTGGATTAAACTATGAATGTGAATATACAGAGGGATGGCTTCAGCATTTTAAGAAGTGACATGGATTCAGTTTTCAGGAAGTGTCTGGTGGAAAACGTTCTGCAGACAAGGAAGCAGCTGCCGAGTATGTGAACGAGTTGTTAAATTAGTGAATGATTAAGGCTCAAGTCCTGAGCAGGTTTATAATACCGATGAAATGGCATTATATTGGAGATACAGTGAACACCTTGAAGAACATAGCCACAGAGGATGAAGAGTTACCTACAGTATTCAAAACCTCAAAGGAATGTATAACACTTCTAGGATGCTGGAACACACTGGTCCAGCATCAATCCGGCCCCGATGGTGCCGGAAAGTCGGAGGTCAACTTGTACGGAAGGGCCTCGTCTCACAGGCACTGACCTCTGGTCTTTGGAAGGGGCTCAGAGCACCACAACTGCTTTTATTTTGTGTTAGCGTTTAGAGATGTTGTCATTTTAATTTAATTAAATATAACACGCAATCAGTAGAGGAGACGAGGAAATATGAAAACATCAGGAGGTAAATAAAAAGTTCTATGTGCTGTCTCTTTCATTGATAAAAAGCACTCAACTTGTAAAGGAAACTTAAGACCAATGGTCACAGCAAACAATGAATCTTGAAAATGGTTGACATGTGTCACACTCATTATTAACTTGGTAACATGTATGAATTTGTGAAGCTCACTGGCATATATATACATATATATATATATATATATATATATATACAGTGGGGTATGCTATAACGAACGGATCCTACTACGAATATTCCTATAACGAACGGTTTTACCTATAAAATTGAGAATGCTATAACGAACGCAACTCCTACAACGAACGCGGATGAATACGGGACTACTTCGCCTGGCGCATGAATATTGTTGAACCGCGACCCACAACAAGAGCGTCAGGCGCCATCTTTGTCTCATTGTGTAGCCAGTGTTATTGTTGAAATTTCGTCTTTTGATGTGGAAATTCGCGTTATTTGTATAACTATTTTGTTATACAAGTATACAATTGTAACAATGAGTCGTCCAAAGCGAGTGAGAAAGCTAATAACCCTTGAAACTAAGAAAGAAATTGTAAAGAAACGTGAGAATGGAAGAAGCATTGCGAAACTTAGTGATGAATATGGGATGACTAAATCGACTATATGTACGATTTTGAAGAATAAAGGGGAGTTAAAAACTGTGCAAGTGGCAAAGGGAATCTCTAGACTTAGCAAAGCAAGGTGTAATGTGATTGAAGAGATGGAAAATTTACTCTTAGTGTGGATAAAGGAGAAAGAAATGGCAGGTGGTAACATAAGTGAAGCTATAATTTGTGAGAAGGCTAAACAATTGTTGGAGAACCTTAAAGCCAAGACTCCCAGTGGAAGTGATAGTGATGTGCCAGTGTTTAGGGGTACCTGCATGCTGAACAACACTAAGGTAAGATAAAGTACCGTATTTTTTACATTTTCCACAGAATTTTTTCAGTGTTAGGTGGTTGTATTTGGGGGCCTGGAACGGATTAATCCTATAACAAACGAGGTTCTGGAACCAATTACGTTCGTTATAGCATACCCCACTGTATATATATATATATATATATATATATATATATATATATATATATATATATATTATATATGTGATATTCTGTTTGTAAACAACCCCCTGGCGGGTAGGAAAGGCAACACTGTTACATAACTACCACGACCAACATATTTACATCTTTATTTTCTATTTTCTGATGATGCTCGCAACCACATTATTAACCTTCATAAACAAAAAAATAATACTTTAACGATTATGGAATTGCTTTTATTGAGTTGGCCTAGTTATTATAATTTCGTTAAAGGTTCAGTTGTTGTTTATGTCTATTTTTTAACATTAATTGTTTTACTGAGAAAGTCGGTTTGCCTTGCATGATGGTGACGTCTGGCAGCCATTTACTATGATATTCTTCTCGTGGGTAGATGATGGTCAGGTCTAATATACATTACTAGACAATACTATCACTACTACTGCTATTAATAAGTAATACAAGTTCTCATATATCTAAAAGCAAAATAATAACATTGACAACAATCATGTGAACTTGAGTCACCTCGTAACCTGTGGAAATTATGTCCACCGTCAAAAATTTACAATCATTATATAATTTTTACCTTCGTCAATTGTACAGTAGTATCAAGCATGACGTGTATGGTATCACAATTTGACCCCCCCCCCCCCTTACACACACACACATATATTAGTTGGCATTAAGAAAAACCACACCCAATAGTTGACCCAGTGAACCAAAATATACATACATATACATACATACATACATACATACATACATACATGAACCACACCCTAAACTGCTCACTCACCCACCTTGAAGCCTTGAAGAATGAAAACCTTGGATTATTTCACGAACCACTGACCGTAAATTATATGCACCATGAACATTCAGCTCCACTTCCTGCACGCCGTCACCGAGAGATGGGACGAGGGTGTGTCGAGCATTGTATTAAAATGACACTACATTCTTGAGCACGTACCAATTCACCGTCATTATTCTCAAGTGCATTACGCTGCCTCTCTGAGTCAAGTAGGTAAATTATGGACGTGAGATTGAAGTCCGCATTTACTGCATATATATAAAGTGCGTATGTGTGTGTGCGCGTGAGTGTGCAAATTACTATACTATACTAAGATACGTAGCGTGAACATGACGACTTCTAGGTCATTATAAATCTTTAATTAATGTGACGAGAAAAGATATATGCTAAATTACTGTACTGTATTTTAAATTGATACTTTCAGCGATTAACTCATTCGTTACATTCACTAATTAACACAACAGGTAGGCGGGTTACATTTGATTACCTTAGGAATGTCGAAGTAATGATTTTACTAAACCTTTACCTAGTACAAAGTATTTTACAGTTATACATTATATCTTTTGCTGAGAGGAAAAAACTGGTAAACAACGCAGGGAAGGGAGGGAATTGGCCGCCCACAATGATAGATGGTTATGCATGGAAGGTGTGAGACGAGGGGGTAAAACAGTGATCAGAGAGGGAATCACATAGTTAGATGCACTACAGGTGGTTCTTCACAAGCTATATGTGCTGTGTTTTATGTCGGGGAAGGAAAGAAAAAAAACTCGATTCGGATCACCTGAAGAATCTCTCTCCATTACCCTAGTTTATTTCACCTAAAGGTTAACCACCTTAACCTAACCTAACCTAACCACCTTAACTGCCTTACGATGTTACTGATGAATGTTATACATGATTATGGATATGTATACAGGTACACATGCATTAGTTCCACTCAGCCCAATGCCAGCTTTAATATATTAACGATATACGTAACTTAATATTCTTCAATTATCACTGCAGTGTTACCAGAGAGAAACTTCAGTAAGAAACACCTGATGTTAAACCCACACCGTGATTGATGAGAGAGAGAGAGAGAGAGAGAGAGAGAGAGAGCCTCTGCATTAAAGGCTTAAATGGCGTCAGAAATACACTTGAGAGAAGAGTTTCCTGTATCTAAAAGTGTTGTGTCGTGTCGGGAGGTCAGTAGGTCCGCCGTACAGCAGCCCCGCGGCACCAGACACCAACCAAGAACCGCTTGTCCTGACCCACTGACCAACCTCTTTCATTACTTTAGAATTATCTTAACACATCTGATGGTAAGGGTTGTTTCCCAGTGTTTCTCTAGTTTACTGTAATGATCAACAGGTGACGGGAGAGGTGCTTGGTGACCATAACATTACGCTGTGTCATCTGTTATTCCCTGCAGCGCTGAGTGACTATGATGCCCTTCCTCTCCTCTCCTCTCTCTCTCTCCCTTCCTCCACTCTCCCCCTCCTCTCTCTTTCCCTCTCCCTCCCGATACTCTCCCCTTCCCCTCTCTCTCTCTCTCCCTTTCCCTTCCTACACTCTCGTTTCTTGCACTATCCTCCCCTTTCTTTATCTCCATTCCTTCCTCTCTCTCTCTCTCTCTCTCTCTCTCTCTTCTGTCATGATGTACTGACGAGCGAAGGTAAGGAGAGAGAGAGAGAGAAAGAGAGATACCCCCACAAACTCCTGCATCACGCCAAACAATCTGCTTATGGCCCCCAACACAACGTCATCGTGTGCTTTATCAAGGAACTGTGCTTTGTAATGAAGGTAAAAGTTATTTGTGGGAAAGTGAAGATTATATTTATATTGATGGTATTTTTGAAGGATTTTTTTTTTCGGGAATTAGCCCACCCAGGCACAGCTCAAACGACCCACAACGGGGCCTGGGGGGCGAAAAAAACAAAGAAATTGAAAATAGAGAAGAAAAAGGTTATACTGTGTTAATCTACACCACGAAGATGCCGGAAAACCAGCTTTTTAAAATGAGACAGATTGTATGAGCATGGAAACACAGAAGAAAGCAAAACATTCCACAGTTTGGCTGTGTGAGGAAAGAAGGGGGTACTATAACGGGTTATTCTAGTGTGACCGACATCCACAGAGAAACGGTGGGCACCGCGGGCAAGACGTGTGTTACGAGCCCACGGCCTTGCTGGCGGTACACAGGATGCCAAATCCACCGAACATTGCCCGTTAAAGTACCTGTAAAAGAGAGAAACTAAAGCAACATTGTGGCGAAGAGAAAGGGAAGAGAGATTGTCGACTAAAGGAGGAGAGTTAATAAGACGAAATGGCTTTGTTGTGTTGGTGTCTCATGGTGTGTGTGTGTGTGACTTAGACCATCGTCCTCAAAGGGGGTGTGACTGAGGGAGGAGGGGTGTGACTGAGGGAGGAGGGGTGTGACTGAGGGAGGAGGGGTGTGACTGAGGGAGGAGGGGTGTGACTGAGGGAGGAGGGGTGTGATTGAAGGGGGTGACTGGGTGAGTAATTCTCTCAAAACAACAATGGCGTTCGGAGTAGCCGCGAGGAAAGTCTTATGATATTTAAGCTTTTATGTTATTATATTGTATTTAGTAACCTGGAGCTTTCTATAGATGAGACTACGTATTCCACTTATGCGTATAGACTATAAAATGCTAAGAGTAATCTGTAAACCAGTCAACCAAAATGCTTAACTTCTATGCTTTTATAGTTGTGGTTGGCTGCATTCTCGCTTCTGATTGGTTATCGGTTTATTTACGAATCTCTCATTGGTTGCCTTTGTGTTACGGATATCTCTATGTATATTTTCTAAGTAATGTATCACACTATACATATCTGTCTATCCCACAGGAGTGCAATATACTTCATCTGAGGAAATATATTACGTTATTATCTAGGTTAATGACAGCACAAATAGCACACATCAGACGATAATAAGTGTTTATAAGGTAAATTTCATATAATAGGGCAGGTAAAGACTACAGGTAATTTTTGGGGTAAGTACAGTGAAGTTCATTGACTGCTTGAGAATTGTATAGTGAAGATTTTTTCCCCTAATTACGATCTTTTAACTGTGAGTCAACGCTTCTAAAAATCTCACCACATCTTATTTTACACGAGGAAATTGGTTGAAGAGACTTTACTACCTTACCTTAACCACCCTCCCTGTCGTACAAGAAGACATCAGCTCTTGCAGGCGGCGGCGGCGGGGTGGTTAATACACTATCAGTCAGTTAAGTAAAGGTTGTTGATGAGGGAAACCCAAGATTGAGAGTAATGGAGCGGCGATCAAGTCGTGTATCACTCAACTATCGTCACTCAAGTGTCGCCTCAAGGGAGTCTTTATCATGACCTCAAAACACTGTGTGGGCTTAAGATAACAGACATCAGTTAAAATAAAATATATCACAGGTTATATACATGTGTGGGAATAATTATATCTTAATTTGCGTTTAGTACAGGAATATATCTTGAACGTTTGAACAAGGGAAAAGATATAGTGAGTGTTGAAGTAGCTGTATCTAGGACTATAACACCTATAACTACTAATCTTATACTGATCATCGCTATAATAGTTCATTAGATAAGGGTTTCATATATAACAGATCCTCGATATAACGGAATTAACTAAAATAGACCGTTAAATAGAAATTCCACTATCTCGACTTTTATCCTCAGAAAGTATAAAAAGTAATACTTCTTCGAGCCACATTAAGACATTGAAGGCCCTAATACGAGACATAAATTATCAACTGTATTACAGACGAGAGGTAAACACTATGGCGAGGTAAACATTATCGCGAGGTAAACATTATGGCGAGGTAAACATTATGGCGAGCGCTGAAAGGAACACGATAATGAGACGTTAAGTAGAAAGAATCATTATAACTCTCCCATTACGTGAGAGTTATAGGCAGGTGATACTGTTTAAAAATACACTGTGTTTTTCTTAAGCTATTTCGTTCCTGTGAGACATGTGGGGGAACAGTAGCGGCAACAGATGGTATTAACTATGTTGTTATTGTGTGGATATTTGGGTTATCTCGTGTTGTTATTGGTGTTTTGGTCCTGGTGAGAGGGTAGGTGGTGGTGTTCCTGTGAGACATGTGTAGCGGGATGGTGTTGTTATTGTGTGGTGGGGTGTTGTTACTGTGTGGTGAGGGGTGGTGGTGTGTGGTGAAGGGTGGTGTTTTATGAGGGGTGGTGGTGTTTGGTGAGGGGTGGTGGTGTGTGGTGAGGGGTGGTGTTTGGTGAGGGGTGGTGGTGTTTGGTGAGGGGTGGTAGTGATGGTGAGGGTGGTAGTGTGGTGAGGGGTGGTGGTGTTTGGTGAGGGGTGGTGGTGTGGTGAGGTGGTAGGTGGTGTGAGGGGTGGTGGTGGTGGTGGTGAGGGGTGGTGGGTGTGGTGAGGTGGTGGTATGTGGTGAGGGTGGTGTGTGGTGAGGGGTGGTGGTGTGGTGATGTGTGTGTGGTGAGGGGTGGTAGTGTGGTGATGTGACGGGTGGTGTGGTGTGGTGGTGGTGTGAGGGTGGTGTGGGTGTATGTGGTGGGGTGGTGGTGTGGTGGGGGTGGTGGTGTTTGGTGAGGGGTGGTAGTGTGGTGATGTGAGGGGGTGTGTGGTGATGTGAGGGGTGGTGGTGTGTGGTGAGGGGTGGTGTGTGGTGATGGGGGTGGTGACTGTTGATTAATATTATTGTGGGATGATGATGGTGGAGGTAGAAGAAAGGAGGGAATAAAGATGAAGGAGGGAGGGAAGAGGAAAGATTAGAGAAAGGGAAAGATACTGATGATGTAACACCATTCAACAGGTGAGTGGAGGAGGAGAGAGGGCATGACAGTATACCCTGGCTGCCTGGACATATATAAAAGCGGTGTTAACGAGGTTTGGGCCAAGTCTTCCCCCAGCAGCGCCTTCTACAGTATATACACAAGCCTCGTGGACGGTAACTATCACTCCTTAACTTGGAGTTCATTTCTCTCTTTTAAGTTATTCAATATTTTTTTTTCCATTCAATTGATTTTATCACCTGAAGAATATCCCACCCCAGTTTAATCCACCTCAAGATTAACCTAACCTAACCTAACCTAACCTAACCTAACCTAACCTTTGCATACCTTAATCACGTCAGGTTATTCAGTGTGTGTGAAGCCAGTTTATTATATACACTCTTCACACACAAGTTTTGCCATAGGGGAGAGTTATTATGTTGTAACCTAACTTAACACTAACTTAAACTAGGTTAGGTTAGGGTTGGTATAATGGTTTCTGAAGTATATATATATATATATATATATATATATATATATATATATATATATATATATATATATATATATATATATATATATATATATATATATATATATATATATATATATATATGTCAGTACTGAATTGGACAACCAGTTATTACTTGTTCAGCAGACGGTTCCCACAGTAGCTCTCACTTCAGGTTAAGAGAGTCTCAGGGGTTTGTAAACAATGTAATTATTTCTCGTAAAGGTGTGAGAGAGAGGTAAGACTTAGAACAAGGTTAGGTTTGGTCAGGATAAATTATAAGGTTAGGCTGGACTACCATAGGCTCCATCAGATTAAGACTTGAGTGACGCAGCAGTTAGTGATACAGGTGTTGTCTCCGGCAGGTGAACATGACCACTGTGACGACCACCACCTTCCTGCTGGGTGGCGGCGTGGCGGCCCTGGCAGGTGGGGCGGCCCTGGCGGGAGCTATAGGTCTGGGACTGGCGGGCCTCGCGAAGAAGCTTGTCCTCAATAAGGAAAATGGCGGCGGTGGTTACGGTGGCGGCGGAAAAGGTGGAAAAGGCGGCGGCGGTGGAAAAGGTGGTGGGGGCGGCTATGGTGGTGGAGGTGGCCACGGTGGAAAAGGTGGTGGTGGAGGTGGAAAAGGTGGTGGTGGAGATGGCCACGGTGGAAAAGGTGGTGGTGGCGGCTACAAACGACGTAGCAAGAGAAGCAACGGCAGCAGAAGCAGCAACAGCGGCAGCAGGAGACTACAAACACGATCGGAGGAGGAGAGGACCTCCCTGGAGAAGCTGCTGCAGGTGATCCGGGCCCAAGACGTGACGGGGTGTGGCCTGAGGTTCTTGTGTGACCTTGGTGGTGTGAGGGACGACCACCTCACTGACGATGAACGAGCAATTCTCAACCTGGTGGGGTAAGTCGTCTACTACTACTACTACTACCTCTTCTACTACTACGTGGCCTCCAGCCTCCCCCAATAGCCACACCTTCGCCGCCATTTTATTACCTTAATATTAAATATCCTAATACATAAGAAGCTATCCTATCTGTGTTGAGTTAGTTGAGCCGCAGATCTATGCGGCATTCAGTGACTGTAGCCTCATAGTCAATATCTGTGACTGTTGTCGGTTTTGGAGCCGATGCTCTCGTTCCCCTGACGCAGAGCAAAGCCGACCTAAGGAGAGAGAAGGACAGTCGACATCTCAACTACTACTAATACTATTTTTTCTTTTCTTTTTTTGTAAATGGCCTCCATCCTCCCCTACTAGCCATACTACTAGTACTACTGTTACTACTACTACTACTACTGTCTTAGTCCAGAGAGAGAGAAACTCAAGCGTTCACAGGTCATTAATATCACTATTAGGGACACCACAATAACACACAAACTCCTCCTCCTCCTCCTCCCTCTCTTCTTCTTGTCCGCTAGTGTCGTCTTCTATCGTGATTTTCCTCTTCTTCCTCCTTATCCTCCTCCGCTTATTCTTCTTCTTCCTCAAACTTTAATTTTCTCTTAACTTTTCTCCTCTTCCTCCCTTAAATTTAATATTTGTCTTAATTCTTTTTCTCTTCTTGTTCCTCTTCCTCCGTCTACTTCTTTCTGTTTTATCTCTCAAGTCTCTTATCCACATATACTCTCTCTCTCTCTCTCTCTCTCTCTCTCTCTCTCTCTCTCTCTCTCTCTAATACAAGTGAAGCCAAAGGAAAGAAGATAATTTGAAGTTGGGTAAAAATGTTTGTGTGTTTGTCTCTTGCTTTACCACTACTACTACACCCCAATCTCTCAACCGTGTCTCATTGCTGTCTCCTAATCACCTCAACCCAATTTAGCTCTAATCAATGTCTCCTTAACTCCCCCCCCCCCACTACCCCCCTTCCCTTCCCCTCCCATCACCACTTAGAGGTCTCACTACTTCAGAGAAACTCGATGTAATTAGAACAAAATGAGACAAGATGATTAGAGTTTCCTACACTTAGGTTGTTTGGGGACATGTGTTGAGTACTGAGCCAGGTAGTCGACGGCGGGGAGGAAGTGAGGATAGTTAATATGAGTAATATATAACAGGTAATGAGAGCCTGGTGTTTACTCCTGGTGCACAATCATCGTGTACTGTGGTCACTGTTGGTGTGAGTTCAGTGATATATTCTTCGTCTGTTCTTTCTCAGATTTTTATGCTTTCTTATATTTTTTTCAGTTATCTTTATTTGTCGTTTGGGATTTATTTGATCTTTGTTATTTTGTCGTGTCTGTTCTAGCATTCCCCTCTTTCTTAACGTTATAATTGGTTAGGTTAGGTTAGTATTCCAGGATTTAATTGGTTATTCTCCCTCTCACCTGTGCAGACCATCGGTGAGACCCGGGGAGGGACTACTACCCCCTGGGGCTACTGGGGACTACCTGGCAGCTAAGAGTCTGGGTGCAGCTGGCGGGGACTGTGGCCGAGCCTTCCCAGAGTGTCCCCTGGGTGGTACACAGCTCATGGACCAGGTTATGGCCTACCTACCCTAATAAATACGCACAACACACACACACACACACACACACACACACACATTCATCAATAACTCCTCATAATCACAACGTCTGCTCCATCACCTTCATTTCACTATCAATTCAATCATCATTTTACTCGACAAATCTCCTTTTGCCTTTACCAAACCCTTGTGTTATATTGACTTAATTATTACACTATATAAAGTCTCCATCATTATAGATACAAATACAGGTATGTACAGGTAACTACTCAGGTCAGTTCACCTCTCCCTCTAAACCACGAACCCCCCGAGATATTCAGTCAGACTCGTGAATCCAAAGCAATAGACTGAGACATTATTCTCTTCATAAATGCTTTGGATTCATAAATTTGAATCTCTCTGGGGTTCGTGTTTCAGAGGGAGAGGCGAACGAGCTTGAGTAGTTAACTGTACGTTTATAAATCTCCAAGACTTAGCAGAGTATTAGTGGACTAGATGGTTATTATTGACGAAATATTGTGAAGACGGGTAGAGTGTAGTCTTCGTTTTATTTTACGAAAGGCAATATAGGTTGTTTATAATTTCTTCACGTTGAATTATGTGAAAAAATACACCCAAAAATAAATATACCGACAGAACGTTGAACCTATTTTGCATGTCCTAAGTCGCGTGTCAGGGGCTCAAGCTGCACACGTGAACATAAATACAACCCTCTCAATTTCTCACTCAAATGACCCGCAATTTATAGTCATTCCGGAATTGCGTGCATGTCAAGCTCCTATATCGGACGATTTCTGGTAAAAAAAAAAATACGCAAAAATGACTAGTTCAGAATTCACGTTATCGGGGACATAGGAGGGAGGACTATTTAGGTTCATCATCAAAGGAACTATTATCTTTAAAATTCTTCCTAAATATATGAAAGAAATACTGGAAATTAGGAGGAATATTGAGATAACTGATATTGAAAATACTTGAATAAATGAAGTTAATGTTTACATAACCTTTTTGCTGAATGAAATCGTCTGGCATTAGTTAACTAAACTACCAAAAGTGGCGTCTCTCTCAAGGGTCTCCAACTAGTCCCCTTCACTAGTGCGTTATACAGGGGGTCATCAGGTTTTGTGCAGTGTGGCAGTCCTGTGTTTGTTTACATTCAACAGAAGGAAATTAGCAATAGTAAACAACATGGAATCAAATTAAAACATTAAAACAAATATCTCGATGATTAGTGGAATGTTTACATGACGAGCCCCTGTAAACGCACTAGTGAAGGGGACCACTGTACATACTACAATGACGGAATCCTCACGTTTTACTCGTAATGAGTAGAGGAAGTTATTGTGGTCTGGCCAGCTATAAATCTTCCTGTGAAAAATCGACACTGCCGCTGCACCCCCTCATCACTACATGATCTATTGCCATATACATTGGACGCTGTGGTCAATGGCATCTATATATAGAAACAACAAGTAGATCTAAAGTCACGGTTGTACAATAATGATGAGTTAGAATATTAGTCGATGTTTTGTTTTTTCTCACTCTCTCTGTGACATGTTTTGGTGTGGACTAGAGCGGTCCAGCCAGCCTGGCTCCTCCTCCCTTCCACCATCACACCCAGTATTGCACCATGTTTAATAGAGGGATATTCTTTCTTGTAGAGGCGTGCGAACACACACTGACACACACACACAAGCACACACGCACACACATACTGACACACTGACACACACACACATACACACTTTGTCTGTTATATAAAACTACTATAATAACTGGACGATTATCACCTGTGTTCTGCCCCATCAACCACCCGAGTACAGCGCCAGTTTTCGGAGACATAACAAGGAAGTAACAATGTGTGTGTGTGTGTGTGTGTGTGTATTAATTCCTACAGTGATAAGGACGCATTCACAGCCACCAACATTTAACACAAACTTTCACCTGGACAGAACCATTAAAACCATGAGCCTCAATACCTGACTCGATAATCATTATGAAACTATTATTTTTACGAGGTTACGCTTCTCATGTCTCTCCTAACATCTATCGAAACGTTGCCCGGAAAGATATTGGAGGCATAATGTGTTGTGTAATGGTAGACCCTGCTGACATATGGCATCACGAAAATTATGACCAAGTTCCAGGTTGCTCATCTGTCTTTCTGCCTCATTAACACACAGTTGTAGGTCTCGGTTGTTTCTCTTACTTTGTCAACACAACATATATACAGTATGTCGTTTCTCACCCTTGAATTTTTTCTTCATTTTTGTATTTATTTATTATTATTGTTTTATTTTATTTTTGTAGTTTCTATTATAATTTTTATTTATTATTATTATTATTATTATTATTATTATTATTATTATTATTATTATTATTATTATTATTATTATATTTTCGTCCTCCAGGCCCTGATGTGGGGCCCGGGTGAGCTAATGCCCCCCAACAAATGTTTTCTCCTTCTGAAAAAGGTTAATGAATGATACACTAAAGTTAATGATCTCTCTCAACTATACCAAAAAAAAAAACTTGTGTTTAATGATTCCTATAGTTGTGTGAAGGAACAGCAATATAAACCAGACAGGAGGCAAAGTCCCCTTCACTAGTGCGTTTACAGGGACTCGTCAGGTTTTGTGCAGTGTGGCAGACCTGTGTTTGTTTACACTCGACAGAAGGAAAACAGCAATAGTAAACATACTATGGAATCAAATTAAAACAACATCAAAACAGATACCTCAATGCTAATGATTTGTGGAATATTTATATGACGAGCCCCTCTAAACGCACTAGTGAAGGGGACTTTGTTGACAATATAATATAACAAATACTACCCACTGCTATAAGACTACCTTGTATAGTTTCAGGAAAAGCCTTGAGAGACCTTAAAAATAGTTATATGTGTAGTTGTCATTAAACGAGGCGTGAGAGTTTAGCGTTGTGTGCTTTACTTACGATACCGAGGCCATATAACGAGACCGAGGCCACATAACGAGACACAATCTATAACGAGACAAACCACAAAGAAGGTAATAACTTTATTTATTTACCAAAGAGAAGATAATATAGGTGCTATATGTTTCCCTGAACTATATAGATAGGAAAGTACGTTATATCGAGGGTCCGATTGAGAGGTAATGAAGGAGAGAGAGTGAGAGAGTGAGTGAGAGGGAGAAAAGTGAGAGTGTGAGAAGGAAATAAGGAAGGAGGGAGGTAAAAATGAGAGTGTTTAGAGGGTGTGTCTTGTGTTGTGTTGACGAGTGAAAGAAAATTAAGTGAGACAGTCTTAAGGTCACCTGGGGAGGATAACAGTATATAATGTTGAGCAGCGTCTACTTGAACCACAGTGGAACAAGACTCACCTGACTTAACTACTCCTTCATCTTCAATCTCAGGTGAGTGTTGACAGGTGTGACTTATTATACAGGTGTTTTGTTTTGTTTTGTTCTTCAGTGGAGGTTTGATACGTATGGGTGGGTGATATGGGACAATAATTCAAACCTCATTGCTACAGAAAGGAAAATAGAAGTTGGGTGAGAATGTTTAGCTTTCTTTATCCATACAGGGAAGTGATAACAACAATAATAATGTACACGTGTAGTTAATTAACGAGTAGGAACAATATCGTCAGGTATAGTACTGTATGTGTTCAGGTCTGCACAGGCTGAGAACTGTCATGGGAATTGTTCCAACACAACACACTGGTGACGCAGAAGAGGACTCGACAGGTGTGGGTAAGTATAAGAATGATCACTACTCCCAGGCCCGTGACCCACCTCTCCCTTACAGATCAACATGGCATTTGTTTTGGGAGGTGCCAGTGCCATCATAGGCGGGGCGGCCCTGACTGCTGTCGCTGGTGCTGTCGGCTTGGCACTCATTGGCTCCGCACGTCGAAATTTTGGTGGCCGACGTTCCAACAGAAGGCGTTTTGGTAGAAGGGGCAGACGGGCGGTGGATGAGGAGCAATCTGCCCTTAACAAGATGCTGGAGTTGGTGAAGATGGAGGACACGTCAAGCTGCGGCAAGAAGCTCATGTGTGAGCTTGCAGCCCAGCCCTATGACAGCCTCCCGCAGTTGGGACGTGACATAACCACCTTGGTCGGGTAAGATACGCGCGCCTCTCACTATATAGTACTGCTGACGCCAAGCCACAACCAACTACACAATGTTTATATGTAAGACACCACAATAACAGCCACGACTCGGTATTACAGGAACAGCAAGGTAGCTACAGGCACAGCAAGGTAGCTACAGGCACAGCAAGGTAGCTACAGGCACAGCAAGGTAGCTACAGGCACAGCAAGGTAGCTACAAGCACAGCACGATAAGCTGCACGCACGACACGTCATTTATAATCACTACTTAACATTTACAATTTCAATATAATATGGTTATAGCAAATTACATGTCTAGAAATAGGGAACCTGAACAAAACTAAACTTGCACAATCCATCGAGACTACTCCACTATAGCGATGAACTATTAATTTATATGGGGTAATGTCGACACAGGTATGATGTAAGAACTAATGTCTACATGCCTTCTACAGATCTGTGAAGCCTGGGGAAGGGCTCCTCCCTCCTGGTGGTGCTGGAGAGTACATGGGAGCCAAGAGTTATGGTGCCCTCGGATGGAATTGTGGGGAGCTGTACAACACGTGTCCATATGATAGTCAGCAGATGATGAGCATACTGACCTACAAGCTGGGTTATTGAGTCCGTCTCACCTGCACCCACTGTCTGCCCTGAGAGGAAAAAATCCCACCTAACTTCACCTAACCTAACCTACAAGGGCATTAGAATTCAATAGAAACTGAAGTAAGTGGTATTCTAAAAAGGTGGGGTTTTGTCCGTGTATTCATTTGTCCACACAGCAGCTTCTGGCGGGTCACAATCAGGACTTTACCTGATGGGGGACCACTGATGGGCTGATTGGCTAAGATGGGTCTTGTCTAATATCATCCACTGTTTAAATCATTATAGGTTGGTGCGCCATCGTGTGTGTAAACTCACCACGTTGACGGCTCCTGTAAATAATATTCGTATTTCATTATCTATGCACTTTTAAATCTCTCCATGGCTTTTATATAATGTATAATGAGATAACTGTCATCATCGTGTGGCAATGCTCAATCTATACACTAAACACTACTTGGACAGAAATGAAAAACGAAAATTTATCCATTTTTCATTTCGAGTCACATGATGAACACAAAATTGATTCTTACAAAACCAATAAAAATATCACACCAAGAATTATTTTTATTTCAAGGTTCCAACATGTTCAAGTTTATTGGTTTAAAACAAGATGAACATTAATGGTACAGATAACATAATGTGTGTGCCGGAGGAATGTCACTTACCGCCACAGCCTGTACAATATTCAACTCCTGAATTTCAACTAGCCGGCTCCCCTGCCACTCCTGAAAATTGCGATACTTTTCTTAAATTAATGTAATTGCATCCTTACACTATATTAAAAAACGGCATACATACATACATACATACAGTACATACATACATACATACATACATACATACATACATACATACATGGCATAAAATAATGCTAACGACAAAATCTGTTTACTTGCTGTTTTTACCTCTATTTAAGATACATATGAACAAATGTTAAAGCTAATTAATTTCATATGAAGTAATGGTTGTCGCCCATCTAGCTGATATTATTTGTAATTTTCTGTTTAATCTAGACAAGGCTGACCATCTCGAAGAGGCTGACCGTTCCTAAGTTATATTGATTTATGTAATTAATTATTTATCTGTGGAAATTCTTTAATGTATAAGAAGGGACACGAATTATAAAACTATATTGAAATCCCGTAAAAAACAACAACCGATGATGAGTTATCGAAAGGTAACTAAACGACAAAATCATTCTTTACGTCATTGCTTCTTTATTATGCGGATATAATTTTATACTTTAAAATTACTTTTGGATAAAATTACACAGAATAAGTTAATAAATAAAGAATAAAACAGGAAAGGTGACAATAGCACACCCTGGCCTACACCCCGGCCCACACCCTGGCCTACACCCCGGCCTACACCCCGGCCCACACCCTGGCCTACACTCTGGCCTACACCCCGGCCTACACACAAGTGCCGTGTTGTTATCCTCACTAATACAACTGATGGCCTGTTGTTCTTCTCTGGCTGAATCATTGGCTATTACAATATTCACTCCCAACATTCCTTATCAGCAGTAACTCTCATGACTCCTTTCTGGGAATTCTTACAAGAGGTATTTAAATAATCATAATCATATTCATTTTATCCTTTATTTTAACAGCCATGACAGTCTAGATCTGTGACTTTCTTCCTGGTGACCAAATCCGAGAGCGGCTAAGTCAACAGTTCCTGTACTAACCGTCAACTACAGTCCTCTCATTGCCAGGTGGTGATGGCAACTTTTCCCGAGGGATCCACCTCCTCTCTCAGTGACGTCGTCGCTCACACCTCTCAGTATACAAGTGGGTCACCTGGGGTAGTCTTCAGCTGCGGCAGGTAAAAGGCAGTATATATAGTGTGGAGCGACCGCCACTGACTCACTCGCTTGGCTCCTCTGCTTCCTGTAACTTGTACGGTATTACCTACAGTATACTTCACGCCGCCCCAAGGTGAGTGTTCACTTTGGTGACTGAGAAGCTCTGATGAATTATGAGTGGCCATTATATTTAGTGTTGGTCTAGTGACACGAGCTGTTAAGAACATAAGAACATAAGAAAATAAGGAGTCTGCAATAGGCCGGTTGGCCTGTGCATGGCAGCTCCTGTCGAGAGTTACTACCACTCTCTATCATCCATGAATCTATCTAGCCTCCTTTTGAAACTTTCCAGAGTTCCCGCACTTACTACAAAGTTGCTAAGCTTGTTCCACTCGTCCACCACCCTATTTGTGAACCAGTTTCTTCCTATCTCCCTCCTAAACCTAAACTTATCCAACTTGAATCCGTTGCTCCGAGTCCTATCCTGCTCGGATATTATAAGAACTTTATCTATATCCCCTTTATTGATTCCTTTCACCCACTTAAATACTTCTATCATATCTCCCCGCACTCTTCGTCTTTCTAGGGAATGCAAGTTAAGTTTCTTTAACCTATCCTGATATGGAAGGTTTCTAAGTCCCGGAATCATTTTTGTCATTCTTCGCTGCACCGACTCTAGTGAATTTATATCCATTCTATAATAGGGGCACCAGAACTGAACCGCATAATCGAGGTGCGGCCTGACTAGCGCAAGATATAGTTGCAATAAGACCTCTGCACTCTTGTTACTTACACTTCTAGATATAAAACCCAATACTCTGTTTGCCTTATTTCGAACATTAACGCACTGTTTTCTAGGCCGTAGGTCCGGGCTTACAAGTACCCCTAGGTCTCTTTCACAAGTCGACTTCTCTAGGTTGATGTTGTTAAGGCTGTATACATTATAAGTATTTGTTCTTCCAATATTAAGTACGCTGCACTTGCTGGTGTTGAATTTCATTTGCCATTTTTCAGACCACCCCTGCAGTTTATTTAGATCCTCCTGTAATGCATTTGCATCCTGCCCTGAATTAATTTGTTGCCCTATTTTGGTGTCATCCGCAAACTTGCTTATGTCACTGCTGATCCCAGTATCTAGATCGTTTATGTAGATTATGAACAAGAGTGGGCCTAGTACTGACCCCTGGGGAACCCCACTGGTTACACGGCCCCACTCAGATTTAACACCATCTACGCTGACCCTCTGCGTTCTATCGGTGAGCCATGATTTTATCCAATTTAAAACTTTCCCCTCGATACCATGAGCCTTAATTTTTCTCAGAAGCCTCTGATGCGGTACTCTGTCAAATGCTTTGCTAAAGTCTAAGTAAATAACATCGTAATTTTCGTCATTATCTACTACCTCGAAGACTTTCCTAAAAAACGTTAGCAGATTTGTTAGACAAGATTTTCCCTTTGTAAACCCATGTTGAGAGTCGTAGATTAATTTGCTTTTCTCTAGATGCGATCGGATGCTATCTGCTATAATTGATTCAAGAAATTTCCCCACTACTGACGTCAAACTGATCGGCCGGTAATTTGACGCTGATGCTCTGTCTCCCTTTTTGAATATGGGTACTACATTTGCCTGTTTCCACAAGTCTGGCACAACTCCCGTGTCTAATGATTTTGTAAATAAGTTTACGAGGGGTCCGCGAATCTGTTCCCTACACTTTTTCAAGACTCGAGGGAAAATTTCATCCGGCCCTGGGGATTTTGTTTTCTTTAGTTTACTTATCTTCTTAAGAACATCCTCTTTTCTGATAGTGATATTCTTTAATTTCTCTTCTTCCTTTCCCTTAAATATCAGTTCCACCTCTGGGATTTCATCGCAAATTTCTTCTGTGAAAACTGATAAGAAGTAGCTGTTCAATGCTTTGCTTATTTCTTCACTGCCATTTATCACTTGTTGTCGGTGTTGTAATAGTTATATAAACTAATATCATCCACGTGTGAGAGAATGAACTGTGAATGATTAATTATAGCTTAAATATCTAGATATTTTTCTTATATTGTCCGGTAAAAGATTATGGGGCTATTCAAGACAGAATATGAACATGTGCGTGAGGTGATGTGAGAGGCCACACCGTATGTCAAGTAACATGGGGTGGAGCGTCAGAAACTGTCCTCTGGCAAATTAACTTAACTGCGATGGCAAAACTGTATCTCTGTGTCCGTCCATACATGAGGAAAATGGTTTACACAAAAGCTTATCAGTGGTGAAGCAGAGCACCTGTAGTCAGTGAAACAACACCTGTAGTCAGTGAAACAACACCTGTAGTCAGTGAAACAACACCTATATAGTCAAGAATAAAACCTAAACCCTCTCCATTGTCTCCACAGCTCACAATGGCCACCGCCTTTCCCACGGGTTTTGCGCCTATAATCATCACTGCCAACAACACAGGGACAAATAACAACGATTTTGCTAATGTGGCAGCTGTTACCGCGGCAGGTGCCAGTATACTGACTGCTATAGCTGTCATTTTCTTGATCATCTTTACTAGTACCACGCAAACTTTCCGCTCTGGACGCTTCAGGAGGTCAAGGAATAGGCGTGATATGTTGGGTGACGAGGATACCAGAGTCAATAGCCTGCTGGAGCTGGTGCGTGCGCAGGATGTAACAGGCTGCGGCAAGAAACTCGTATGTGAGCTTGCTGCCCAGCCCGAGGACCGCCTCCCAGATGTCGCACGCAACGTCCTCAATCTCGTCAGGTAAAACTTAAGTCTGTTTTAGGCTGTTTTCTAACGTTGACCACATATCATTGTATTGGGTGGTGGAAGCCTTGGTCTGTTGTGAGAGGGTTTGCTTTCAGGTTACAGTTCATTATTATCAGTGGGAGGGAGGGAGCCATTCCGTGGTGGGGGTCAGTAAGGTTAGGTTGGTTAGAACACAACCCAACACTTGCTTTGTAACTCCAGCCAACGGTTGTAACATCACTGGACGAGAGCGAGTTAACTGAGTTATAACATGAAACTTACAAGACAATGTAAAATTTTCCTTGTTCAGATCTGTGGTGAAGCCTGGGGAAGGGCTTCTCCCTCCTGGTGCTGCTGGGGAGTACCTGGAAGCCAAGAATCACGGCCTCTTGGGGTTGGACTGTGCCCAAGAGTACCCCGTCTGCCCCTACGACGGCCAACACCTGAGGAACCTGATGATGACCTTCCGTATTTAAACGTTACCTCGCCTGCCCACCACCAGCGCCACCACTACCGTCAACACCACCACCAGCGCCACCACTACCGTCAACACCACCACCAGCGCCACCACTACCGTCAACACCACCACCAGCGCCACCACTACCGTCAACCCCAACACCAGCCCACCAACCTTCAACACCACCACCAGCGCCACCACTACCGTCAACACCACCACCAGCGCGCCCCAACACCACCACCCACCACTACCGTCAACACCACCACCAGCGCCACCACTACCGTCAACACCACCACCACTACCGTCAACACCACCAGCGCCACCACCTTCAACACCACCACCAGCGCCACCACTACCTTCAACACCACCACCAGCGCCACCACTACCGTCACACCACCACCAGCGCCACCACTACCTTCAACACCACCACCAGCGCCACCACTACCGTCAACACCACCACCAGCGCCACCACTACCGTCAACCCCAACACCACCACCAACACCACCACCAACACCACCACCAACACCACCACCAGCGCCACCACTACCTTCAACACCACCACCAGCGCCACCACTACCTTCAACACCATAACTCACTTCCCACCTGTTATGTGTGTGTATTCTTTTGCATTCAATATGTCATTGAGTAAACTATATCCAATCCTATCCATACACTCTAATCCAACCCAACCCAAATTAATTATAGTTTGGATATTATGTAAAGGAAGAAGCAAGATGGTATAATGTAAACACAGGTCAAGTGGTTAGGCTGGTGTCAGACATAACCACCATGTATATCCTTTACTGCCTGACGGTCACTTTATTTATCTGTGATGTATATAAGTATTTATTTATTTTGGTATAACAAGATGTATGTATATATATGTCAATTGTATTATTTTTGGTCTTAATATATTAGTTAAGAGTGATACTGTAACTTGCTAGACGTCCGTACTGTATAGCAACTTTTTAAGCTCCTTACTCAACCATACTCGTTGGTCTTGATAATAAAAGCTTTTGCATATAAAGATTTATTTTTATTTATTACTTTGATAAACATATCTTATTGGCTGACGTTATGATAGTGAAATAAATGTGGTGTTTACGACTATTGTACAGATGGTAGTTGTAGTCTGTCTCACCTGTCTGTCTGTCTCACCTGTCTGTCTGCCTCTCTCTCACCTGTCTGTCTCTCACCTGTCTGTCTGCCTCTCACCTGTCTCACCTGTCTGTCTCACCTGTCTGTCTCCCACCTATCTGTCTGTCTGTCTCACCTGTTTGTCTCTCACCTGTTTGTCTCTCACCTGTCTATCTCTCACCTGTCTCTCCCATCTGTCTGTTCCCGTAAGAGCCTCAAGAACACCGCCTGCAGGTTAACAGAATGACAGGGAGGTGTGTATCATGTATATCCGGCCGTGTGGTTATCTATCCGGCCGTGTGGTTGTCTATCCGGCCGTGTGGTTGTCTATCCGGCCGTGTGGTTGTCTATCCGGCCTGTCCGGCCGTGTGGTTGTCTATCCGGTCGTGGATCATCCGGCCGTGTGGTTACCTATCCGGCCGTGTGGTTACCTATCCGGTTCATCCGGTCGTGGTTGTCTATCCGGCTGGTTATCCGGCCGTGTGGTTGTTCATCCGGCCCTATCCGGCCGTTATCTATCCCGTGGTTGTCTATCCGGCCGTGTGGTTGTCTATCCGGCCGTGTGGTTGTCTATCCGGCCGTGTGGCTATATAACTGGCCGTGTGGTTATCTATCCGGCCGTGTGGTTATCTATCCGGCCGTGTGGTTATCTATCCGGCCGTGTGGTTGTCTATCCGGCCGTGTGGTTGTCTATCGCCGTGTGGTTATCTATCCGGCCGTGTGGTTGTCTATCCGGCCGTGTGGTTACCTATCCGGCCGTGGTTGTTCATCCGGTCGTGTGGTTATCTATCCGGCCGTGTGGCTATATAACTGGCCGTGTAATCCGCCGTGGTTATCTATCCGGCCGTGTGGTTATCTATCCGGCCGTGTGGTTGTCTATCCGGTCGTGTGGTTATCTATCCGGCCGTGTGGCTATATAACTGGCTGTGTGGTTATCTATCCGGCCATGTGGTTATCTATCCGGCAGTGTGGTTATCTATCCGGCCGTTTGCTTATCTATCCGGCCGTATGGTTATCTTATCTATCTGGCCGTGTGTTTAGCTTATCTATCCGGTCGTGTGTTTATCCTGTTATCCATCAGGCCGTGTGTTTATCCGGTTATCTATCCGGTCGTGTGTTTATCCTGTTATCCATCCGGCCGTGTGTTTATCCGGTTATCTATCCGGTCGTGTATTTATCCTCTTATCTATACCGTTGTGTGTTTATCCGGTTATCTATCCGGTCGTGTGTTTATCCGGTTATCTATCCGGTCGTGTGTTTATCCGGTTATCTATCCGGTCGTATATTTAATCTGAGACTGTGTGCATGTGTACGTTTGTCAGTGTGCATGTATGTTTGTGTGTATGCATGTGTATGTTAGTCTGTGTATGTAACTCAGCCATAACTGAGAGAACTGTGAAGAGAATCATTACGACTTAATATTTTAATGACAGACAACCAACATTTATCCTCTATTATACTGAGAGAATCTTGAGGTGACTAAGATCAAACTATTTATGGTAATAAATAAATATGTTTTTTATTATTTTTACACTTAATTCTTATATTAGGTGATGATTGGATAAGGTTACGTTAGGTTTTTCTTACATAAATATATTATACTCTAGTAATTCATATGTAATTGTCCATAAAACATTAGGTACATCATACTAGGTACATGACTGACTGATGTACGTACATTCGGGTTTTATTGACTTATATATATATATATATATATATATATATATATATATATATATATATATATATATATATATATATATATGATGTTTGTCCATTGTATGAGAGGATGTTTTATATACAGGATCATACTGTACAGTGCGGGTAGTGAGAGGCAGTGTGGCGGCGAGACACGCGGTGGTGGTGGTGGGGGACAGCCTGGGGGACTTAAGGAAGGAAGGTCATCATCAGGTTCCTCAGGTGTTGGCCGTCGTAGGGGCAGGCGGGGTACTCTTGGGAACAGTCCAACCCCAAGTGGCCGTGATTCTTGGCTTCCAGGTACTCCCCAGCAGCACCAGGAGGGAGAAGCCCTTCCCCAGGCTTCGCCACAGATCTGAACAAGGAAAATTTTACATAATGTCTTGTGTATCTTGTAGTTTCATGTTATAACTCAGTTAACTCACTCTCTGTTGGCTGGAGTTACAACGTAACTGTTGGGTTGTGTTCTAACCAACCTAACCTTACTAACCCCCACCACGGAATGGCTCCCTCCCTCCCACTGATAATAATGAACTGTAACCTGAACACAAACCCTCTCACAACAGACTAAGGTTATCACTCCATGGTATTACAGTAAAAGTTGGTGTGGTGTAAAGGGATAACTTCTACATCAGTAAATAAAGTGTTGTGAGATACAAGTCTTACCCTACAAGGTTCAAGATGTTCCTTGACACTTCCAGCAGAGTGTCCTCGGGCTGTGCCTCAAGCTCGCACATGAGTTTCTTGCCGCAGCTTGTTCTGTCCTGCGCCAGCACCCGTTCCAGCAGGCTGTTCAGGTATCGTTGTTCGTCTAACGCCTTACGCTTGTTACTGCCAAGACGTCTACCACTACGGAATGTCTGAGTGACTTGGGCTGCCATCACTATGCCAATGACTCCAGCGGCAGCCAACACACCCAGACCAGCACCGCTCAAAAGTGTACCAGATAAAATCGCGCTACCTGTTCCTGTGGCTGCCCCAGTGGTAAACCCAGGAAACAACGAGCCTGTGAATGTGTCCGTGATGATTGCTGCTCCTGGCGTCCCCATGCTGATCTGTGCCGGAGACAAGGTTAGTGACTCGTCTTGTTAATTTACTACAAGTATTGTTGCCTTCTGTTCATATTACGAAACTTTATTATTATTAATTACATATAGTTAATCAGTGTTCTTATTTACTTCAACATAACTTACTACTTGTACTCCATTAATCAGCAATATATATAAACACCATGGCACACCTACCTCAGATACAAGACGCGGCGAAGAAGTACTGTACTGTATGTGTATCGAGAATCAGAGTTGAGGACTCACTGTGTTAAGCGATGAACTCGGGCCCGGCTATATACCGCTGGCTTTTACTTTTTCCGGCCTGAAAACCCAACCATTCATAGCTCTATACACGTGCTTATTAAAGTCGCGTACACGCCCACAACATACAATTATAGGAATCCGGCCCGCCCTCAAGCATTCCCACGAGAACGATGATTTTAGACTGTTGCTGTGCTTTGCTTTTGGTCACACACTCCCTATAATTGCCTTCTTTGATATTTCTACAGTTCTCATATGATTTACCGCCTTCTTCCTCTAATTTTCCTTCACCACCTCCTTCTGTTGGGGAGGTGAAGGAACCCTAAGATTTATCACAGAAGCACTTGAAGCAAACCCCACCGTGACTTGAATGCTGTCAATTACTCAACTTCACATCTTGGTAAAAAAATATATCTGCCATAGTTTTTCCTTCCTGTTCCTCCTCTAACTTTCTCCCATGCTTTCTTGTTGTTAAAGATAATGACTCAAAAGATTGGTGATATTTTGATAATTTAGTGCTATAAAAGAAGAAATTTTTAATGCATCAAACAGGGAGATCAATTAATTTCATCTCACAAGCATCACGGCCATACAAATCAACATTATTGGAACGGTTGGTAAGGAAACTGGTGAGGCCCGTGGCTCCCCAATAGAGCCAATATACTCAGGATAATTTATAACGAATAACAACAAAGTGTACACCAACTGGTTTTGTATATCTTATAGCATACGAAAAAAATAAAAAATACGAGGGTAAAATATTTTTGGCGAACATGGATGTACAGCAACAGAGTTCCCGACTTGCCATTTTCCACTCCCTAAGTTCTTGCCAATGGCGCGTTGTCTGGTGGGAAGTGCTCGTCTACTCCAGACATTGTCACATTTACGTCTTTATTCTTCCGGTTCTCTTACACCAGTACTATTATAGGTATGAATAAGTCATTTTATACTGGTAGAACTGTATATAGACCCCTAAAGTACACAACTATAAGAGTGGTAGTGTAAACTAGCGTCACCCAAGTTGGTACAGAGGGTGAGAAAACGGCTTAACATGTTGAGTTTTTTCGGGTGAACGTTCGGCAACAGGCAGACGATATGATGTTGCTTGTTTAAGGGCTTCTTAAACAATTCACAGCACTTCGCCCACCTGTCCGTCAAGCGCCATTGGTTGATCTATGAAGTAATATAGTATAAAATGTGAAATGCCTCAAGGTTGTGTGGAACTTGGTTAAGCCTGTCACATGTTATCCTAGCCAACATTAGACATGTAAATGCTAAGAAGCATTTTTTTTCTTACTTGTGATATTTGTGTTGTTAAAAATTTCTTCTCCAATTTAGATTTATAGCTTAGGTTAGATAGTGCTTATGGAATGCCAACCTAACTTATAAGTGGGCATAACTGAAATGAAACTACTGTATATAGAGAAGTACTCGGTTCAGTGTATGATGCATCACCTATAAAACAATTATTTTGCTGTGTTTTATAAGTTATCGTTTACAAACACTGTTGAGGTACAGTATCATCTTTAACTTATGGAGTTTAATAGAATTTAACAAAAAATTGAAGTGAGATTTGACATGGTGTATTAATGAATGGTGAGGTGCAATAATGGTATTGGAAATGTTTCAGTAAAACCTATAAATGATTTAGTAATTGCACAAAACTCTGCTTTAGTGATCAATATAATGTGTGTATCTGATGGAGAAAATAAAATATATCAGATGCAACAGCATCAGGAGGTGCATCTCAACAGGAACTGTTTCAGTGTACTATCGTTGACAAAAGTTCGCTTCTTCCCAAACTGAAGCAGTATCGACCCGCACAGCACACCCGCACCAGATAACAATCAGGGTAAGTCAGTTCGGAGACTCATTCCCGTGTCTCAGTTTCACTACAGGGAGCGAACTCTTGTCCACGATAGTACATCTCGACAGGAACTGTTTCAGTGCACAGTACATAGTTCACATTTCAGTGAAGAGGCTGCTGCTGCCATCAGTGGAGGAGTGGCATGGGACCCCACCAGTTGTGCATTTTTTCTTTAAGTATTCACTGTAATCTTTCTTTATCCTAAAATATAGATGATTTTACACTCACTAACTGGGCTGCTGCCTACAGTAAAGGAGACAAACCCAGTTTAGTCTTGTATGTTAGGTGTTGTTATATACAATTTTAAGCAGCATATTTACTTTACTAGTTCTAACTTAAAGGGCATCGGTAAATCTATGTAATACTGTCGCACATGCTTAGTTTTGTCCAAGACTTCTTCCTAGAAGGGAACATCAGTAGTTAGTGATTTGATTTGTTGCTAAACAGATAAAAACAGATTTTCACTCAGATTCTCACTCGCTTATTCCTTTTGTATTCCTAGGCTCACTTGTGTCGCACTCTAGGGCTCAGCTCGGGGTCGTACAATACAGTAATGCTATTGTGGTCAATATTAGTTCTTGCTCCGCGCTCTGTAATTAGAAAGCGGGGCAAATTTTTCGCCAGTTCGCACGCTTCTACCAGCATTTGGAATGTCACGGGTTTGTTAACGAGTCCGTACCATGTTGGGCGCTCGCAACCCAAGAAAATTACGACTAAATGCGAAGAAGTTTGTTTTTACTGATACTTACCACAGTGGTGATTATGCTAACAAATAGACTGTGAAATTTACCCGACAGGCGAAGAACAAACATGAGTGATAGAGAGTTAGGTCAATGGCATAAGGAGACCAGCATCTGTGGTTTTAACTGAACAAGAAAGCCAACTGCACCTGACTACATGTTCTGGATTGTTCGAGCATAATGGTGGTACTGAAAGTCAAGTCACGAGGGTGGGAGGGGGGGTTGGCATTGAAATCTATTCCCAAAACTTAGGTTGTATTCCAGAGCGTGTACATTGACCGCCGCTTCATGGTTAGGAGGTTACCACTTTCTGGAAAATGACTCCAAATAACCACCAGTATAAATGAGCCATGCAGCCCTGACATCCATAACACGGAGAAACAATTTTGTCCCCCTTCCTCCTCCTTCGTCATCACAGGTAATCAACATCATCAGTAACGTATTCAAATAAATCCTTCACTATTATACTCATTCACCATAAAAATAAAACATTATATCTACTACGTTCTAAAGGTTCTTAGATGTATAACATTCATAATGACCTCCCGTAAAAGCCTCATGATTTATTACAAACGTATAGAATAATTCATCTTTATTCATCATTACTCATCATCCTCTACCATGAAGAATTATTATGATCCTTAACGTCTACTGCTCTGTGGATGATGATGATGATGATGATGATGATGACTTTTGACAACAGGAAAAGGAAAAAAAATAATGGGCTATGATAATTGACGTCCTCATTGTGTTTTCCGGTCAAGATGGTTGTTCCTTGGTGTCTCTCTACCTAGTATTAAGCTCTGTCTCCCTCATTCATTCTTTCTTTGTTTCTTCTTGTTTCTGTTTATCATACCCCTTTTCATTCTTATCTTTCGTCACTTGTGGGTCTTTGTTTATCCATCTCCCTATCCATCTCCCTATATATCTCTTCCCCCTATTCATTTTTATCATCCTTTGTTACTCGTGTCTCTGTTTATATACCTATAATGTTTATCCATCCATTTATTCATGCATCTATCCATTCCTCCATGTATCTATCCTTCAGCGACAATTTGAGTGCCGAGAAATGCAGGAGGTAAGCCAACCATTTTGTTAGCGGAGATTAGAACTCGCTCACGTTCTCTGGTTGGTGGAGGTGTGTACGTGTGTGTGTGTACGTGTGTGTGTGTATGTGTGTGTTAAGAAAGTTGAGTCATTGGGGTAAAGAAAGTTCGCTTTATTTATTTTGTTTTATTCCGTGTCTAGTTTATATTACACTGGGGATTTTTTTTTATAATATACTGTGTATCACTTTCAAATTTGCCAGGATTTTGTGGTGGCTAATGACTATAGTTGATTTTAAAGTTGTAGATACACATATTATTTTCTTTGTGTGTATGAATATATTATGACACAGTTGAATAATTGATGAGTGTTTATTATCATGTCAACCAGTCGGGTAAAAAAAACACCCATTAAGTGTTGACTATTAAATTATTCTAAATATGTTTTGTATGATGTACTTGGCTTAATATAACGTGAATGATAAAACTAAATCTTGCCTCTAAGTGTCCATATATCTTTGACTATCTTCGCTATGCTCCCCTCACATGAAAAATCAAAACAGTAACACTTTATTTTTTTTACAGTGGGCCACCGACTAGTACAAGATGACGGGCCTCGGGTGGAGAAGAATGAAGACTCAGGTAGAATCTTCATTAACACAGGTAAGAATGTGATCTTATTTTAATGGGGGGAAATTTTATGATCATGACATAGAATGTTTGTTTTGTTGTTGAAAAAGTTAATGAGTGAATGTCAATGACAGCTTCTTGACGTATTCTCTATGGTGGGGTTGACAGCTTCTTGACGTATTCTCTATGGTGGGGTTGACAGCTTCTTGACGTATTCTCTATGGTGGGGTTGACAGCTTCTTGACGTATTATCTATGGTGGGGTTGATAGCTTCTTGACGTATTCTCTATGGTGGGGTTGACAGCTTCTTGTTTTCTCGTTGACAGCTTCTTGACGTATTCTCTATGGTGGGGTTGACAGCTTCTTGACGTATTCTCTATGGTGGGGTTGACAGCTTCTTGACGTATTCTCTATGGTGGGGTTGACAGCTTCTTGACGTATTCTCTATGGTGGGGTTGACAGCTTCTTGACGTATTATCTATGGTGGGGTTGATAGCTTCTTGACGTATTCTCTATGGTGGGGTTGACAGCTTCTTGACGTATTCTCTATGGTGGAGTTGACAGCTTCTTGACGTATTCTCCAGGGGTGGGTTGACAGCTTCTTGACGTATTCTCTATGGGTGGGTTGACAGCTTCTTGACGTATTCTCTATGGTGGGGTTGACAGCTTCTTGACGTCGTATCCTCCATGGTGTTCAGGTAGATAATTTCTTTATTAATTAAAGGTTCCATAGTTGCGTCGCATATGATCAAACTTGTAATGTGTTTAAAACTGTCTTTACGTTGATTCTGTGCATTTTATTTGTTCCTTCCACTATTATTTTTCACACACACACACGGTTTGGCCATGGACTACTGCGCCACCCTCGTCATCGCCACCAGCAGTCCCCCACCCAACTCGCGCAGTCCCCCACTACAACAAAATTCAGCCCATAAGAGCTCGCACCGATAGATATAAGAACAGCACCATCCCATCTATTGTTAAAATAATAAACAACTCCTGATTTATGTACTGTACAGCCCTGTAAATGTATTCAATGCATATTATATCATTATGTCTAAATTAAATGTAAGTCTGTATGTTTTCAGCCACCGGCTGCAACTCTATTAATAAACCGTTTATTATTATTACACTCTAACCCTCCCCCCCCTCTCTCTCTCCCAGCCAGTATATTGTTTAAGAGCATTTTAACATTGGGTCACCATATTGTTCACTAAACCTCTAGACTCCTCGTTGTTCGGCTCTGCAGGGGTAAAGAGAGCGTATCGTCCGCTGGCAAACAATCGCTGGGTCACCGCACCTGTTTGACCGACTTCGTTGATTACTGCATTGTTCCGCGTGTGTGGGTAATAGAGAGGCTGGTGACAGGTTACCTCCTTGTCTAACACCCAGATTTTATGTCCAGAACCTTCCTATGATGATGATAAAAGTAAATCCTCCCAATACCGGACTAATTCTTGCAAACCTTGTCCGTTATTGGGAGGAGGGAGAGTGTGTTAATGAGAATATACCATCGTCGTCTTTAAAGGATTACACTATAGTCATCAAAAGTTTCAAGACCAGAACCTTCCCCCCCCCCTCTAGGGTAAAGGTTGCACCCCCTCCCCACACAACCAACCGACTGTATGTACCTACAGTGGTTAAAAAAAGTACCCAGATTTTAACATATATTCATTGACAATCTGGGGGGGTTTTTTCTTTTTTTTTTCGCTCGGATGACACTGTTGTGGAGATAATTTATGTGAGATATCTTGTGACATACTGAAGATTTATAGACTATAACATCTGTTGTCTCTTGAAGTGTATGAATGCTTCCAAATGCAAATTAACAGACGGGTTTCAGGAAAATAATGATTATACTTGTAGATGAATTACCGTGTTGTTGGGGGGTAACTGAACTAAAATTACTGACATATGGGCTTAAATAATATACTGTATATAAGAAGAAGAAAAAGACGTCAATGTTCTTCAATATTTATGTGATAGTTGTGCGTAAGATAACTCACCATGGCGCGGACACTGTGCTCTTACTGCGTCATGGTGTTATTTATGATGTACGCCTTCCGGTGATACTCGGGTAGTTTCCTTACTTGATGATCCTCGTTAAGTATGACAACTAACTCATGACGGGTGAGGGCTATGAGGGCAGTGTGAGGTGAGGACCGTGGGGTGAGGGTTGTGTGGGGTGAGGGCTATGTGGGGTAAGGGCTATGTGGGGTAAGGGCTATGTAGGGTAAGGGCTATGTAATAATAAAATAATAATAATAATTAACGGTTTATCAAGATAATATGGCAGCCCGAAAGCTGAAAATATACGAGCCGGGATGATGGGTTACATATGGTGAAATCGGGGAGTGGGTCACTTGATTGACGAAAGCTTTCAGTACAAAAAATATAAGAAACATTGAGTCAATATAAAGATTAACTATAGATCTGGCACTGTGGGAGCTGGTCTCGTAAACATTCTTGCGACTTGATATTGGCGCCAACAAAGTCCTTCACACTGTTTGGATGCCGTTGTACCTGGGTTGCTAAGCCTCTTCCTCACTACGTGGTCTGGGTAGGTCCTTCAGCTCACACAAGGTGCTGATATACAGTAGTTAGGAAATCATAATTCCTCACCTGGGTGAAGCAGGGAGTCCTCATTTCTCTCCTGATGTAGTTTGGAGTCTTTCTTGGCTTCTCATCCAGTGTTGGAGGTGGTGGGTGTACGGGGGAGTCAGGTCAGGTTAAGTTAGTTCAGGTCAGGTTACGTTGGGTTAGATTTGTGTTAAGGTGGTTAATCTTCAGGTGATCATATTAACCATCAGGATTAACCACAAGGCGTAGTTCATCATTCATCATTAATCCAAACATAACGAGACAAATGACCTGTAAATTACCACGTTATTGCAATGAGTTCAGTTCAATAGGGACATATACCATATACTGTATTTACATCAGGGAGACAAAAGGTTAGTACAAGAAGGGTATATGTACCCAGGAGGTGATGGTGTGCCATTATGCATTATGCCTGGTGATTTACTGTGTCTTGTAGAATGATGTTTTTACAATGATAGTTATAGTGTTATTGTATATTTATGGTGTTATGTGTGTGTGTGTGTGTGTGTGTGTGTGTGTGTGTGTATTCGGTATGGTCGATGGGAACACAGGCAACCGCAAAAACTTTATCTAACCTTGATATTTCAGCTTTATTATGTACTGTATATACTATGGGTCATAAAGCTTCACACACACCCTACACAAGACACACCCTACACGAGACACACCCTACACGAGACACACACCCTACACGAGACACACCCAACACAAGACACACCCTACACGAGACACACACCCTACACGAGACACACCCTACGAGACACACCCTACACGAGACACCCTCCTAAGATACACCCTCCACAAGACACACCCTACACGAGACACACCCAACACGAGACACACCCAACACGAGACACACCCTACACGAGACACACCTGACACAGGACACACCCCTCCACAAGACACACCCTACACGAGACACACCCTACACGAGACACATCCCACACAGAGACACACCCACACAAGACACACCCTCACACAAGACACACCCAACACAAGACACACCTACACGAGACACACCCAACACGAGACACACCCAACACGAGACACACCCAACACGAGACACACCCTACACGAGACACACCCAACACGAGACACACCCAACACGAGACACACCCTACACGAGACACACCCAACACGAGACACACCCAACACGGAGACACACCCTACACGAGACACACCCAACACGAGACACCCTACACGAGACACACCCAACACGAGACACACCCAACACGAGACACACCCAACACGAGACACACCCTACACAGTCTGCTGCCTCATCAAGGTCCTTAGATGGAGGGGGGGGGGGCTGAAGACACGTACACAGTCTCCCATAGATATATAAGGACCAGGACCCGTAAGTGAGGCAGCAGTGTTTAGCCTGACCACCTCGTTCCTGTGTCGTCGTCATCCTAGAGGTGAGTGTGGAGGGTTCTGGGTGATGTAAGGTGCTTTATCAGGTGACTGTGAGGGTTCTGGGTGTTGTAAGGTGTTTTATCAGGTGACTGTGAGGGTTCTGGGTGTGGAGGTTCAGGGGTTGTGGAGGTACAGGGGGAGGAGGGGCGAGAGAAGCAGGTAGGTTGGTACAGGTGTAAGCTCTCCCTCCCTCTATATATCTGCGTGGTTTATTTACATTTAGTTATACAGTCACCACCTCCTGACTTACCCATATATTTAACCCATTCAGACCGGACATCTTGTTAACCGCACTGGCTATACAACATGACCACAATCCGCCAATCAACTTGCATGGTCCTTCTGCTCCCTAATTACTATACTTGGTGGATGGAGACTAATTACTCTAAGGAGAGGAATGTTCGCCTGAGGTAGAGGCAGTCTTATTATAGTGCTTGTATTACACATATTATTATTATTAGTATTAGTATTGTTGTTATTATTATTGTTATTACTGTTATTATTATTATCAGTTCTCAGAGGAAGTCATCTTGTAGTGTGTGTGTGTGTGTGTGTGTGTGTGTGTTTTCTTCCCACCAGTGAGGACACAAACATTTGATAAAACTCTGGAAAGAAAATTACCTGACACACTTGGCAATATTTGACATACACTTGAGGGCCTTGACATACACTTGAGGCCCTTGTAGGTAAGTGGGATTGGGATTTAAACATCTTAGTAGGACAACAAATGTAATGTTATTCCCGTTTCGTGTCACCATTGGCAGACTCCCAGCATCATGGCAACCATTACCGTGGGCGCAGGCATAGCAGCAGCAGCAGGAGTTGCAGTAGCAGGCGCCGTGGGTCTGGGTCTGCTGGGCTTGGCGGCGGGTTCCAGAGGCGGCAGACGCAGGGGTGGTCGCAGAAGGCAAGGAAACTTTCGCAGATTCGGGCGTGAGGCGGGGGAGGAGGTCCGGCAGCAACAGGAGGAGCAAGAGGCTCTAGAACGCACCCTGGAGCTCATCCGGGTGGAGGACGTGACCGGCTGTGGCCTGCGTCTTATGTGTGAGCTGGCGGCTACGCCCTCGGAGACCCTGCTGCAGGAACAAATGGCTATTCTCAACCTGGTGGGGTAAGTCTATAACCTCATTATATACAGTACATGTAATTCTTAACAATGGCCAAGGAGCAGGGTTTAGAACTGACAAACGTATTATCTTGTATTCTCTTTAGGTTAGGTTAGTATTCCAGGATTTAATTGGTTATTCTCCCTCTCACCTGTGCAGACCATCGGTGAGACCCGGGGAGGGACTACTACCCCCTGGGGCTACTGGGGACTACCTGGCAGCCAAGAGTCTGGGTGCAGCTGGCGGGGACTGTGGCCTAGCCTTCCCAGAGTGTCCCCTGGGTGGTACACAGCTCATGGACCAGGTTATGGCCTACCTACCCTAATAAATAAGTACTGGAACAATGCTGCTTCTAGACCCGGGTGTAATACGAGTCTCCACTTAAACCATCGGTGAGTCTCTGTAATCTCCTGAGTATGATGACTTAAACCCCTAAATAACAATATCATCGTACTGAAGGGGTTTAAACCAACGTTGATAATGTGCTTTACAGAATCTAATAAACACAAACTGAAGGGAACATCAACAAACCATTTAGCATAAAGGAAGGTTAGTAGAAGTAGGTATTTTATAATGATTTCAAACATCATCCATAACCCTTTGAGGACTGGTTTAACCCTTTGAGGACTGGTTTAACCCTTTGGGGGCATTGGTTTAACCCTTTGGGGATGATTGCTTAACCCTTTCAAGACTATGCTATGTTTTAACCCTTTGAGGCCCATAGTTTAACCCTTTGAGGACTGGTTTAACCCTTTGGGGGCATTGGTTTAACCCTTTGGGGGCATTGGTTTAACCCTTTGGAGATGATTGCTTAACCCTTTCAAGACTATGCTATGTTTTAACCCTTTGAGGCCCATAGTTTAACCCTTTGAGATCCATGGTTTAACCCTTTGAGGTCCATGGTTTAACCCTTTAGAGAAGATGATTTAACCCTCCAGGACTCGAAGGGTTAAGTTAACACTAAGATTAAGAAAAGCTGTTCAGAATATGTGACAGTAATCTTTCATCTTTCCTAAATAGCGTAAGCACCTAGTAAACATTAGCTCAGCGACTGGTAGACTACGAGTGTTGGGTCTGGGTTGTGGACAGGTGTGTGTACATTTGGTCGCCAACATGAGATTGACAAGACGAAATTGGGCACAGGGATCCGACTCTGGTGGTGTGTGGCCGTGTTCACTCGACCGGTGTTTCCTCTTGTTCACATGTTGGCAATAAAATGTACGCACTTATGGACGCACCTTGAGACGTGGTCAGGTGTGTTCATTTACCTTTCACCTGTCGAGAAGAGGCCTTTTGTATTGTTAGTTAAGTGTTTAGTGTAATATATGTATGTAATGCTAGTTAACTAATATGTGTATGTGATGATAGTTAACTAATATATGTATGTAATATGCTAGTTAACTAATATGTGTATGTAATATGCTAGTTAACTAATATGTGTATGTAATGCTAGTTAACTAATACATGTATGTATTGCTAGTAAAGTCTTTTTGATGGGTTGCTATTAACTATTTTCTGCATGTAATACTAGTTGTCTATCTACCGCATGTACTGTACTACTAATTAAGAATATTGTATTTTCATGAATTAGTTAATTATTTTGTCTAATTATGAATCATTAGTCGTAACATTTTGTCCTAGGTGGCGCCATCTGTAAACAAAAAAAGTGTACTAACTAATGATAGAATAAAACACATGACAATAATTACCTTTATGCTCTGAGATCCGTGTCTATAAAACAATTACATAACTCAAATTAGGCTTTTAAAATGTCAGTGTGTGTTAGTCCTGGTCCTTAAATTATTCCTGAGTCACACCTACGGCAGAAAATTAACACATACGGCTCATTATTATCGGACTCAACCTTCATATGAGTGAGTGACGGTGCATAAAGTCAGGTGTTTCCCGAACTGTTGAAGGGAGATATTGCATGGTGCTCCACCGGGTCTGTCGATATAAGGAGATAGAGAATGTCGTCACGGTGATACATAACAAGATGAGGTGAAGGAGGTGGGGGGGTGATCAGGCCGTGACTCGATCATGGTAGAATATATCCATCCCTATGTCGGAGCAGGTGGAGGAGGAGGGGGAGGGCAAGGTGGTGATGACGATCATACAGGCGACTGATATCGCCAGGGTCACCAGGCTGAAGCACCACATGAGGTTTGGGCTGCTGTGTGACACCACCAGGACGGGGTCATGGACGTAACACCGTTCCTCTCCGCTGACAGTAGCAGAAGGCCCACGTGATGCCCCGTCTGTCCCCCAGGTTGTCCACAGCATTCACGTTTTGGACATGGGAGCCGCAGTTGACGGTGCAGGCGGCCCGCTGGAAGTCATGCTGATACACTAACCTTGGAGGGAGGGACTGCACAAACCCTGGATAAGATCAAGGTGTTATGTCTGAAGCCAGTGTCTCGCCTTATATCATACAACAAGATGAAGTTCTGCACATATAGGCTGTACAGACACACACACGGCACTTAACGATGTGGTTCATTAAACTACAATCCAACAACGAGTCTCTAGTTCTGACTTTTATTGTTTAGTTATCCATAAAACTATTTTCTTCTATAAAAAAAGTAAAGTATAAAGAAAACGATAATTTTTTTTCTTTTTAAGGCTAACTTTAACATAATTTCTTGCACCATCTAGTTACTTTACTTTATATTACTCTATGTAAAGGCCAAATAGGATCTTTGATGGTAGACTGCTCCGCCAATCTATTCTGAGGTGCTTAAGAATTTTTTGTTTATAAAAATTAAAATTTATTTACAATAACATACACGAGTAATATAATAATTAAGGGGAGTATCATGATCTGAACATCAGGTACAACAAAACAGTCCTGCCGGCGAGTCTGTCAATAGTGGTGTATGGAGGCGTGAGGTCGACCGGACTTTAGAGGAGTTCCAGCTCCCCTGAAAAGCATACTCAATGAAAGGGGTTAGACTTAAGTCACTCCTGAACTGGGATCCGGTTAACTCTGGTCTGCTGGCCTCCGGGAGTCCCCACGACTGGACAAATCAGGTGATATATGTCTCCTAGCCTAGAGGACAAAGACTGTCGAACTCTTTACAATGACATCTCTCACGCCCGGCCCTTGACGTGGGTAGAGTCCTCCTAAACAAAATATAATTATTGCTACAATTTATACAATATTATAACACCCGACATATACTAAACATATTAATGTACTCTAAACTAACAAAACATAAGTAGATTACAACCAGTGCCGGATTTAGACCTGTGGAGGCCCATGGGCAGCCTCTTTGTGGAGGCCCCCTCATTATATCTGCCCAAGAGGGTGGGGTGGCGAGTGAAGCGAGCCTAAACATCTGGGAGTTCCGGGGGGGCTGTAAGTCCCCAGGGAAAATTTTGAAGTTTGAACACTTCTTTGGAGAATTTTGAAGCCATATGCAGTTATATTGAGGAAATTAGAACATTGAGAAATTTTTAATTAGCTGTATATTTATAGATAGTGTACAAATTCCCAACACACACACACACAAAAGTGAGACATGACTGGAGTCATTCATGTGGTTTCAAGTCGACCAGCCCTGATATAGCTACTACCGCACATGTCAAAAATTTTCAAGAGACTTCACAGAAAAGAATATATTATTAGTTATTACAGAGAGATGATTCTTTGCATTATTAATCAGATAAACCTCTACTCAAATAATGGTTCTGTCCAAGTAGCTAGCCTAATTTCTACCACGCTTCTTGCTGAACATAGTTTTACGTGATGGAATAGATAAACATGAATTTTAAAGAATGAAAATAAAAATAATCCAAATGAATAAACAAATAAATAAAATATTGTAATATGTGGAGGCCCCCAGATTGTGGAGGCCCCTGGGCAGTTGCCCACTTTGCCCACTCCTGAATCCGGCCCTGATTACAACAGAACATAACATACAAATCAACAATATACTGTACAGTACGTGAAGGGTACTCTTACCGAAGCTGAGGGAAGAAAGTCCCAGCGCTCATCACCTCTGTCCCGGTGTAGCAGGTTTAAATGGAGTGTTAGGTGGAAATGAAATGTTTGCCCAACATATCGTACCGCGCACCCGGCAGAACGCTCTGAGATTCCGTGGTGAACAGAGCTGATGAGTTGGCGACTGATAGTAGAACGTGTGTGTGTGTGTGTGTGCGTGCTTACAACCTACATATTTGGCTGAGAAAGTCCAAACGAGATTGTAAATTAGAGTGCATGAGGAAGACTGAGAGAGAAGAGGAGGAGGAAATTGAAGAGAAGGAAGAATAGGGAGGTGGACAGAAAGTGAGGTAGAAATAAAGAGAGTGGAGTAGAAGAGGGTGATGGATAGAAAGAGAGAGAGAGGAATTAGCGAACAATGTGCAATAAGACTGACATGGTCCCAGCTGGCGGCCAAACCCACCCTTCCCGCCCCCATCAAGGACCAGCTGATCTATGTCAACAAACACCAAGACGACCCTCGTGTGCTTGATAGTCGAGGTCCTCACAAAGTTACCATAAGCTTGACGACCCTCTCACAAGTGTAGGTTAACTCTGTCTTGCCCCCGATAACTGGTCTGTAAGTTGAATATACATTTTTCTTCATCATGAATTCAGTTATGGTCACAAGATCCCTGATACTGAGAGACTCGCATGTCATCACGTGTGTCCAAAACAAGGAGTATGGTAATGTATATCTTATTCCAGGAGTTAACTTATCTCTCCAGTTACGTGGGAGAGTTTAAAGGTTCTAGATTAACGAGAATGTGCAGTACGTTAATTTTGTCTTATGCTAATTGAACATTTAAGATAATTATTTTATACCTTTACTTTCATCAACCAATCGTCTTTTTTTTATCTTCAAATATAAAGAAAAAAACATAATGGTTATATTCCTTGAGAGTTTAAATGTTCAAAAGTTATTAAAATACACTTGACTATTTCATTTCATCTAAAACACAAAACCTTTAAAATACAGTCAGAATACCCCCCTCCCATCTAGATTAAACATGTCCTTCACAATATTTTAGGAGACAAAACTAACGCATCTAATCTTTGGTAAGACTATGTACTCTATACGCTATGTTCTGTGTTTTATCTTAAGTTAGTTAGGTGCACTCTTATGTCCACCAGTTAAGAATGTGTGTGTGTGTGAGCATCTGGCGCTTGTCCCTGGTCCAGTCTTACTCTTAGCATGACCAAGTTGGGAGTTTCTGTCAATCATTTTCTTGTGTGGTGAGTCCATTAATCTTATCGTAATGGGCCGGATTCTCGAAGGCAGGTGCGATAACTTTACTTCCTATAGCTGGTGAAGTTAACTTTAGTATCAGAGGGAGACAGAGAACAAAAAAATACAGACACAGACTCGGAATGACAAACGGATAGGCACACAATTCAATTCAAACCAACATTTTTGTTTTCGTGTGTGTGTGTGTGTGTGTGTGTGTGTGTTTAGCGTCAAGTGGAGGTGAAGCTTCAGGGTGTTGAGGAGGAGTGTGGTGGGTGCGTGATGACCTTCTTGTGTTCAGCTGCCTCCTGTTCTGGTCTGGTGGTCACACGCCATGGATAACCCTTGTGTGTGTGGTAAGACGTCGTTTTTTGTGTTACTCATAACTGGTTGACTTGTATGAAAGCACAGCCGTAACATCAAAATTAAACTGTGATTTTATACGTTCATTTAGCACCAGTTAGGTATAGGAGTTGTGTGTGTGGCGATATACTGTGCTGTGTATATACCCTCCACTACACAATATAGTAATATATAATTTACTGTATGTACAATAATTCTGTGGTGTAGAAAGCTCAGTTGTATAAGGAATAGAGCATTAGTGTGTGTGTGTGTCAAGGTTTAGATAAACATCTTGGCGACTTATGTTTCAGGAATTACTTCTGCCATAAACACAAGCAATATGTCTAACTTCATGACCTCAATATAAAGTGTCATAGGTGATGTAAGTATTTAAATATTCACGAGAGATTAGAATGACTTTGAACAACAATATGGCAGTGCAACACTTGAAACCTATTATGCTAATAAACACTTTGTCAAGACCTTCACCAGATTAATTTGTTAGGTTAGGTTGGTAAATATAACAAAACAGCTATAATCCGTAAATTTATTGGTACAGGTAAGACATGTATGTTAATTAAATCACGACTCATATCCCGCAATTGTAAACATTTAAATCTTTCTCTCACTCCCAACCTGACAACTAATCACTAAACTACCTCTTTCAGGCTCCAGAACCAGCACCACGCCACGCCCCCCAGCCAGCGACCATGTGTGACACGTCAGTCATATCCGACAGTTGCTCTTTCGGTTACTCCTCCCTTTACCCACAACAATAGTGATCCGTGGATATTACCCTCAGTGAACAGGGATATGTACTATGTAAACTGGTAAGTAATTTGTGTTTAAGGGAATTTGATATTTACTTGTTTTAGGTATTTTAATGTTTATATTAGACAAGGTTTGGTCCAGTTTTTGCTTGTTTGTTTTGAAAACGGAGAGCAGTAGCGGTGTGTACAGTATCGAGGATGCCACCAGTTGAGAGAAGTTTTGGACGTGATCATACCTGAAGGTGTGATACTGCCGAGCCGGCCGTATCATCTCACGTCCAGAAAATGCCTCAAAGTTCACCATATCATTGTAAGTTCTTTGTTTAATATACCGGGGAAGTTAGGTCACGTCAGGTTGGTATTATATTTAGGTGTTTCTTTTGTTTTATTAATTGTTTTAGGCGTAATTATTAACTTTATTTAATTTCTTCATTCATATTTATTATACTAATGCATGTATTATTATTTATTATTTCTATTATTTTGACTTATTTCACCGTTCTCAAAACACAATCTTTCCCCGGTAATCATTTTGTCACTATCGCCCAGTGGTGAATCTCGTGACCCGTCTGGTGTGGATGGTGGAGGTCTTGCTACTCGAGGGAGGCTCAAGGTGCAGGAAACGGTGGATAAATCTTAAGTAGTTCTGTTGACCGCAATACAACCCTTGACTGATGACCCCATATGTCAACAACGACGTCACGCTCAATAGCTGCCACTTTGTAAATAATGCTAATAACAATACAAAAATATATATTATAATATTATTATTATTGAATAATTTGAAGAATCTCCACCCCAGCTTATTTCACCTCATGATTAACCACCATAATGCTAACCTAACCTAACCTCAAATAGAGCTTAGTTAATCTTCAAGTGAAATAAGCTGGGGTGGAGATTCTACAGGTGACCTTACGAGAATTAGTAGGGGCGGGGCGAGGGTGTGAGAGAGTTGAAGGCAGGTAACATCAAGATGGTGCTGGTCTGTCCCTTGTCCTCCCCTATAAGGCCCTGACAGCCCTCACTCAGACCTGCCACACACCACAACCTCTCTTCTCTTCTCAGGGCTTTGGGGGGAAGATACTGGGACCTGATTTCTTATATAAATGACTATCAGGTGTCAAAACCTACTCTGGAATCTCCTGAAGAATCTCCACTCCAGTTTATTTCTCCTAAATATTAACCCACCTTACCTTACCTCAACACACGTGAGATTAATTAGACTCGCGTGGGAAACAGGTGAGTTTTTTGTGTTAATTTGTTCTCTTACCTGTTGTTTTAGAGGGAGGGGGAGTAATACCTCTATCCCACCAGCAAACATCAGCTAAGTGTTGGTTTAGTTCCAGGTGTTGGTGGAGGTGTGACAGGTTGTAAGGTAGGGTTAGGTTAACTAAGCTACACCTGTCTCGAGTCACCTGTGCGTTCATGGTTCTCACACTGTTGGTTGGGGTACGTCATTGTACAGGGATGGGTTTCTAGGGAGTTCTTTATGTTGGTTTCTAAAGGGTTTTATCAGTCTCTAAAGCATCCTAGTAGTATCTAATGGTCTTTAATGGCGTATACTGGCTCCCTAGTGAGTCTGAATCTGCGTTATGATCTTAAAATCTCTCTCCTACCAACAGCTAGCGTGTGTCTGTCTGTTCCTTAAATTCACAGTGAAGCCAATAAGCTGTCAGCCTCTCCATCAACTTTCACGCAGCAGAAATCAATCCCGTTTACCTTCAGACTCTAGTTAATGCTAATCAGTGTGGCTGTGTTTACTCTTATCAAATGTTTGAGGGTAAGAGTTAAAGTTCATGGAGACTGAGTATCAACTGTTCTCTCTCTCTCTCTCTCTCTCTCTCTCTCTCTCTCACACACAAGCATAGTATCATCATCTGCCATCAATAACGTGTGGGCGGAAGCGAAGGTGCAGTTGACCACCACTACCACCTCACCATTCAACAACGTTTGTGGGGGCGTTGCTAATTCAGGCAGCCTCGGCCAAGGTTAGCTAGCGAGACCCACCCTACCTACCTACCTACCTACCAACCAACCAACCAACCAACCTTCCTTCCTTCCTTACTTTCCTTCCTTACTTTCCTTCCTTCCTTCCTATCACGACGTCACACCCCTTTTTTTACTAATTTTAACATGTTTTAAAATACAGTTTCAGTCTTACCATTACTTAAAACACCTGGAATATGTTAAATACACCTTATAGTAATTACTGTACCTGTAGTTATTGGTGATGGTTTCTGAGAGTTAAATTTGTGTGTTGTTCAGGAGAGATGGAGAGAGAAAGAAATGACTTTGACCATATTGGAGCCGCCTTTTATAATCTGTGAGATCTTTATATACCAGCATTAGCGAGCCATTGTGTGTGTGTGTGTGTGTGTGTGTGTGTGTATTGATGGTGGTGTGTGTAGTGAAGATGGTGTGTATGTGTGTAGTGATGGTGGTGTATAGGGATGATGATGGTGGTGTATAGTGATGCTTGATGGTGTTATGTACAATATTTTTCATTTTGCTAAATGATCAAGTTATCAGTGAATTTGCTTATTGTTCCCTAACCTTTTTTTTGCGGGGAATAGCTCACCCGGGCACAGGTCATCGACCCACAACGGGGCCTTGGGGGGGAAAAATAAGAATAGAAAGAAATTAAAAATAAGAAAGGAAAAAGTTATATTAATCTACACCACGAAGATGCCGGAAAACCAGCTTTTTAAAGTAAGGCAGATTGTATGAGTATGGAAACACACAAGAAGGCAGAGCGCTCCACAGTTTGGCTGTGTGAGGGAAGAGGGATGTATTATAACGGGTTATTCTAGTGTGACCGACATCCACAGAGAAACGGTGGGCACATTGCATATTCTTAATTTTTTTAAACTAGAATGGCATTTGGCTAACTGCACAATAATTGGTCTCGAATAAGAAAATACAGTTATCACCATATAATATTTGTGTCAGGTTAGGTTATTCATCTGAGAACTGCAAAAATTTTCATTAAACTTCACACCGGACCTAACCTAACCTAACCTATAGTTACAATTAATGAAAAAAAATCAATTTGACGGTATTTAGGCTGGTCTAGGGGGTATATTCACGACCTGGTAACTGTGGCAGGAGAGGGGTAGAGACTCACTCCACTGAACAAGGTTAGTGTGTGTGTGTGAAGCGGTGAGTGAGGTTGTCAATGTCTCTCCAAGGGATTTTTTTCTGTGATCTTTAATTCATCTTGGTGAAATTTTCCCTCATCTCTTGGCTTAAACTCGTAAGACACTTTGGATTCCTCCGGGTGAACGGGGATCTAAGACCTCTAGCCATCACGGTAAGGGGAGTCATTATCTCACTGCCTCAGATATTGTTTTTGCAGATTAAAAAAAAATACAGAAACGTGTTGACTGTATCATAAAAGACGTACTGTGATGGTGTAACTGTTGTAACCATTGTAATACATTTTATATACATACAAATTTACTATAAATTACAGGTACAGTAATGCCCACGTGTTGGCTGTAGTATCATGAAAGGCGTGCTGTAAATTCTGTAACCTTGATTTTATTATTGTTGCAGGTGTATATACTGATTAACTATCATGTACAGGTACAGTAATTCATTCCCAAGTGTTGACTGTATTTTAAAGATGGTGCAGGAGTGTACGTGTGTGTGTGTGTGTGTGTGTGTGTGTGTGTATCCTAACCTAAGCTTACCCAGACAGAACTTTTGTGTGTTGTCATGCGTTTGTAGTCATGATGGTGTTAAGTGTGGGGGGTGGCAGGTGTAGCTAACTAGCCATCTATAAACCTGACGAGACTGGTATTGGTTGGTGTCAGTGACGTGAGATCCTCATTGTTCAGTTTCTCGTTCGGTAATTCTCAGCAGTAATATCAATCAATGCCTTGGAAATACGACCTCCCCCCATCCCGCGTCCTCCTCAAAAGGCGAAAACGAACTAAACTAACAGGAAGAACTAATATTAACTACGAGGTTCCATTTATTGCATGTGTGGGGGAGATGCCACTTGTCACGACGGCTACCACAATCCTTCACCCCTCCCCTCCCCTCCCCTCACAACAAACAAACCAGTGTCCTTATTATTGTTATTTTTTTCTTGTTTTGTTGTTTTTTGTAGTTTAGTTCTATTTTTGTTATTGTTGGTGGTAATCTTGTTTTTCTTCCTCCTTCTCTTATTCTTCCGTTTTATTCTTCCTCTTTATCTATTATTGTATTATTATTATTATTGTTGTCATCATCATCATCATCATCATCATCATCATCATCATCATCATCATCACCACACACACGGTCATTGTAGAGTTAGTTAACGCCAGTAGAGTGTGTGTGATGTCAAAGCCTATTCTTAGCCACAAGACGGATCCTCCTCCTACCTGGCGACCTCTGCCCTTCTCTATGCTAATGAACAGGTAAGTGTTCTTGGGCCCAGGTAAATATTCACTAGAACTTCCTCTGAGAAACTTTATTGTCTGAAGCGATAGTAATAATGAATAGTGTAATAGTATTGGTAATAGTTAAGAGGTCTGTGGCAGTGTTGGTAATGATTGATGATGTTGATGTCAGACGGTAATAATTGATAGTTAATATTAATGATAGCAGTGATAATAATAAAGGTAACAATACTACTACCACCATTCACACTACTACTACCACCATTCACACTACTACTACTACTACTACTAATAATAATAATAATAACAATAACCTAAAAATGATAATAATAAATTAGCAAATAATTATCAAATCCCACAAACTATTTTCTTTACTTAGGGGGTGAGAGGAAGGGACAGGGGGGGGGAGGGAGGCTTATCGACACCAACGTACACGACACCAACAAGCTCTGTCCATTAACGACCTCCTTACTGTGTTCCCTATTATAAGATAAAGATTAATAGCATTTAATTATAACTTCTATGTCATCTACGTTCTCTCTCTCTCTCTCTCATGGTGATAGTATTGTGGTTATAGTGTGGTGATGGTGGTGGTGGAGGTCTAGATGATGTGGTGCAAATGTGGTAGAGATGTGGTCGTTGTGTAGAGGTTTATGTGGTAGGTATGTGGTATTGGTTATGTAGAAGTGATGTGGTACTAAAGATGTGGTGGTTGTGTAGAAGTAATGTGGTGGTGGTGGTGGTTGAAGAGCGTGTGGTTGAGGTATACGGTGGTGGTGGTGAATGGGTCAACCCCCCACCCCCCCAATTTAATATGCTAGTCGCGTTAACCCTACCAACCACCACTACCACCATCACCACTACTACTAGTCACTATACCACCTTCCTCAATGCTACCACCACAACCACCACCACATTACACCACCACCACCACCCTAGCTCCTCCACCATAGTCACCACATTAGGGATTCGAACCCCCAGTCCTTCCCACTCCTCTGGCTACCATTCTTATCAGCCAATCAGACTCTAGCTATCACACCCTCATTATCATCCTGTTAATCATCCGCTACCAAATGGGAATAACATCAAGGGGTAAAATGAGTAGGTTGAGGAACAGACAGACTCAGTGATGGCTCTGAGGCGGTGGATGAAAGGCTGTGTGGCGGGGCATAATAATGGAGTAGGGATTGTATAGTGGTGTGTGTGTGTGTAAGATAATCACACACACACACACACATACACACAGGCGTCTATCTTACTAACACTTAATAAATTGCGAAGATAAAGTCTGATTCTTACACTAAAAATTAATTAGGGGAAAAAGTAGCCGTGAGGGGAGGTGAGAGAGAGAGAGAGAGAGAGAGAGAGAGAGAGAGAGATAGTTATATCTCTACAGGTGAGACAATCTTAAATTAAGAGATATAATCACCTGTAATTAGTAGTAGGGTGGTGTCTTGATAATAATAATAATAATACAATAATAATCAACTCATAATCATTTAGAGTATTGCCTGGGTCTCTCTGTCTCTGTCTGCCTGTCTTTGTGTTTGGGTCTGTCTGTCTATCTGTCTCTGTCTGCCTGTCATTGTTTCTGTTATACCGACCTAAAGTATATATGTGACTCCAGCCGGATTTATTTATTTACTTGTTAAGTGTTGCGTGAGGTGAGCCTGTAGCGACACGTGGGTCCTCTAGCGGCTGGGGTGTGAAAGTTAACCTGACCACCACCGTCAATGTCAACAAACCTGCTCTTGTCTTTAAGAAAACTCCCTGCAAGGAAGACTTAAGTGTTATGGAGTGTTGTGTATATATACTTCACTGTTGACGCCAGCTCTCTCTCTCGGCTGCCATCTTTCACCCCCGTAATAGCGGTGGTGGTGACGGTGGTGGTGACGGTGGTGGTGGTAGCGGTGATGACGGTGGTGGTGGTGGTGAGTTTCCCAGGTGGTGACTCGAGATGGTCTGTGTCCTTGTACTGCCGTGGTGACATTCCTGCACGAGGTAAACACTGTGTTGTGTGTGGCCTTGTTAATACTCACCCCTCCCTAGCCTTTACCTACCTACCTATCCAACCTATGTCTACATCTCTACCTACATATCTACTTACCTATCTACCTATACTTATCTACTTCTCTCTATCTCTCTCTCTCTCTCGATACTTCTCCCTCTACCTCTTTCCTTCACCTTTCTCCCTCTCTTCTTCACATCCTCTCTCTCTCTCTTTCCCTCCCTCTCTCCCTCATCACGCACTCTAGGTCACACGTACTCAAAATTACCTCCAGTCACTCAGGCAGAGAGAGAGAGAGAGAGAGAGAGAGAGAGAGAGAGAGAGAGACGTGGCGTGGCGGGCAATGGGCTACTTGCTGATCCTAGGTACCGAGGTTCGATTCGCTTTTAGACTGGCTAATTCGACTGTTGCCATCCGAGACAATGGTGGTGCTGGGAAGAGATGGCAGAGAGAGAGAGACACGTGTTGTATATTGTCTCAAGTGTGTCTCATCAAGTGTGTCTCATCAAGTGTGTCTCCTCAAGTGTGTCTGCTCAAGTGTGTCTGCTCAAGTGTGTCTGCTCAAGTGTGACTCCAAATAATAGGGTTTTTTTATACGTGAGAATCGATTAAATTTAAAATCAACCAGTGAAATGTTTTGTGAGATTGTCTCTTGTGTGTTTATCTGTCATTGTACTTGAATAATGAGATTCTTAAGATGATTGGTTTTGATTCGAGGTGATTAGGATACGGTTTGAAACATAGATTAGCCATTCAACTCTGCCACACTCCCAGTTAGTGTTAGATGACTGAATGAGGTGACGCTGGTGTAAGGGATAGTCTGTGTTGATTAAATTTGGGGGTAAGTGGTGTCCACCTGGCCGTCCTTACCTGTCCGATGCTTGATTATGGTGAGTCACTGAGTTCAGAACCCAGGTGAGTCCTTAACCCAGGTGAGTCCTTAACCCAGGTGAGTCCTTAACCCAGGTGAGTCCTTAAACCAGGTGTGTCCTTAACCCAGGTGAGTCACTGAGTTCAGAACCCAGGTGAGTCCTTAACCCAGGTGAGTCCTTAACCCAGGTGAGTCCTTAACCCAGGTGAGTCCTTAAACCAGGTGTGTCCTTAACCCAGGTGAGTCCTTAACCCAGGTGAGTCCTAACCCAGTGAGTCCTTAACTCCAGGTGAGTCTCTAACCCAGGTGAGTCCTTAACCCAGGTGGTCCTTAACCCAGGTGAGCCCTTAACCCAGGTGAGTCCTTAACTAGGTGAGTCCTTAACCCAGGTGAGTCCTTAACCCAGGTGAGTCCCAACCGTGAGTCCTTAACCCAGGGAGTCCCAACCCAGGTGAGTCCTTAACTCAGGTAAAAACCTAACCCAAGTGGAATCTTAACCCAGGTGAGTCTTTAACCTGTGTCCTTAACTCCAGGTGTGTCCCTTAACCCAGCCTTTATATACTGTGTGTCGACTATGGTGTTTGTCTGTGAGGCCATCCTGTCTCTCTCTCTCTCATTGACAAGTTACAACGCTCATCATAATAATTACAATAATACCACCATTATCATCACTACCACCACCTTCACCACCACCATCATCATTATTATTCATATTCTTCCTGTACTTATTATTCAGTCAAGACTACAGTGTTACCAGCTCTGTGTATGAACCTTAAGAGATCCCTGATGAATAATTGACCACCAGACTACTAGTGTGTGTGTGTGTGTGTGTGTGTGTGTGTGTGTGTGTGTTGTTTTGGTGTTTCAGCTTAGTGTATATATGTAACTAATCACATACATACATCTTGAAACACATAAGTCATTACCTGTAGTAACTTAACACCCAATAGGTTACATTTAAGGTAGTACAGGTGAGCTACTTAAGTGTATACACCTGTGTCCCTCCTGAAGGTGTAGGAACAGATCACCTTCTATCTCAATCG